GAAAGGTGAAAGGTGTGGTACCTCCTTATGCGCAGGCACATCTGTGAGGTGGGCAAGGCCTTCCACTTGCACATCTTCATCACTGGACTTTCCTGCACGGCTCTTGAAGGAGACACAAACACACGTCAGCAGGGTCGCAGATACTGCGGCCACACAGGAGCTTGTGTTTACTCACATTTTGTGCGCTCTCTTTCTGTAAATCAGTAAGGCTGTCAGGGCGAGCACCATAGTGATGAGAAACAGGGCAGCCGTGATCCCTCCTGTCAGGCCGCTTCGTGGTGCTGAGCGACAGAACATCATGGTTTTATCCAAACAACCCTCGATTCAACTGTTTTAAAGTGCCCCTGACATGCATTATAAAAGGTCATAGTTTGGTTATGGAAGTCCACAACGACAGGCTGACCTGTATGTAAGATCAAAAAACACTTTCGTTGTCGAAAATATGCATTTATTTGTACGCGATTACTCCGATAATTCCCATATGATTTGTTCAGTGATCTATTTTTCGTGATGCTACTCTCCTGTGATTGGTCTGAGGACCCAGTCTGTCGTGATTGGTCGACGATGTGCAGCTTAGGATGGAAACGAAACATCCATCTTGACTTATCAAGCGTTGAAGCAGGTGGCCATGATAGTATATGTGTGAGCTCAATGCAGGAAAGTACTGATACAGCACTGCGGTGTGGACACCATTCTTCATCATAACTCAGAGTAAAAAGAAATGACAACGAGTATTAAATTAGAAATGTAACTATTTTGAACTGTGGTGCGCACATAAGCTCATTATAGCTGCTCTGCTGTGTGAGCTCAAGCCATTGAAATGAATGGGTTTCATAGTGCAGTGCTTTCAGTGTCTGGTGTGAAAAACATGGCTAAAGATCTATTTGGAGAACGACCTGTGTTAATAGCAAGTCCGTTCTGTTCTTTTGAGAGTCAATACCTATATACATGCTGCACTTTCAGATTCAAACCTCAGCTAGATGTTTTCATTCCCTTATAGCTGTGTTACACACTGAAGGAAAGAAAATCTTTAAAAATCCATAATAGAGGCACTTTAAACATCGGTAATAGCACTAAAAATAAGGATCGCAGTGTCTTACCTGATTGAGTTAATAAAGGGAGCGAGAGATAGGTGTCTGTATAAAGCGGGTGTGGAAATTCTCTGTTCTCTTCATCAAACAGTTGAGTGAAGGCACGGACGCTTAATCTGAGGAAATAAAGCATACAAATTTATTTATAACAGCACATCTTTTACATTAAGTTCAGCTTTCAATGAGGATTCCGCCATCACTAACTCACTCTCATGCTGTGTTTACACCAGACGCGGAACGCGCGGATAAATTGCGCTATTCGCGCGTAAATTGAACATTTGAGTATTCTCGCTTCATTCGCGCGCCAAACCCCGCTTCATTCGCGTGTCAAATTCACTTTAGAACAGATGCGGATTCACGTGTTGGGCGGGGCTTCTGTCTGCCCCTAGCTTCGTTGCTAAAAGGCTAACATGGATTTTATGAGGAAAAAAACAGTGTTTTTGGGCTTTATGAAGACCGAAAAACAGCGTAGATACGTTAAGGGTCGTGACTGAGTCCACTACATGCTTTCAGAGGTGCATCCAGCTCTGTGAGCTCATAAACTCCTCCAGAAACTGAACATGGATGATGGAGGCTTTCAGCGGTGCATCTGACTGAGCCAAGCCCAGTTTGATGAACAGGCGATACGTCACAATCACGCCCCACAAGAGCAAGCTCCTGATTGGTTAAGCAGAACCAATGTCCGATGAAGTTAAGATTTTCGAACCCGAGTGATTCGCGCGAAACGCACTATAAGCAAAATGTCAAACACGCAAAATGCTCAATTAGCGCCGTGCCGTTTGCGCGTATCGCGCCATTCGCACCGCACCATTCCTACAATTCGCGCAGTGCCATTTGCGTATATCGTGCCGCAGGATGTCTATTTGCATGTTTGCATTGACTTAACATGTAAATCACTTGCGCTTGATGCGCGTTCCGCGTCTGGTGTGAATGCAGCATTATGAAGTTGGGGAAACAATTGAGATGTTAGTCAGAATGTTCAGGCTAAAAAACAAATACTCTAGTGTTCTGAAAAAATAAACCATTGCACAACATATGTTTGATCCCAGTGTGAAATGACTGTTTTGTAAGTTTTAGAACTCTAGACATTCTGCTAAACATGTCATGTGAGAGGACATCAACAAAACAAATGGGAGCTCTGACGAAGTAGCGGAGCTGTTAGCAATAATGGAGGAGTGATGGCGAACTAACTCCATTTAGATACATATTGCAATGATTTCGGGTACTTAGCGATGTACGCACACATATATACATAGTCCTTAAATGCTCTGCTGACTTAGACTCTATAATACCTGTTTTATAACTTTAAACTATTCTAAAATATTCTAGCGATCTCTCTTCCCGCGGTGGGAATATTTTGTACAGCAGTGGTTCTCAAACTTTTTTCATCAAGTACCAATGAGGATTCCGCCATCACTAACTCACTCTCATGCTGTGTTCACACCAGACGCGGAACGCGCGGATAAATAGGCAGGGCTTCTGTCTGCCCGGTGACTCTAGCTTAATTGCTAAATGGCTAACATGGATTTTATGAAGAAAAAAACAGTGTTAATGTGGTTTATGAAGACTGAAAAACGGCGTCGATATGTTTAGGGTCGTGTCTGAGTCCACTACATCCTTCCAGAGGTGCATGAACCTGGATGACGGGGACTTTCAGCGGTGCTTCTGACTGAGCCAAGCCCAGTTTGATGAACTGTTGTCGGTGAAGGCTGGAGGATTTCCCCCGGAACACCGACAACAGGCGATACGTCACAATCACACCCCACAAGAGCAAGCTCCTAATTGATTAACACAGTGCCAATGTCCGCTGAGTTCAGATTTTCGAATTCGAGTGATTTGCGCAAAACGCTCAATTAGCGCTGTGCCATTTGCGAGTATCGCGCCATTCGCACCACAACATTCATACAATTCCCGACATTCGCGGCGCGCCATTCACGCGTAACGCACCGCAGGATGTCTATTCACACGTTTGCATTGTCTTAACATGTAAATCACTCACGCTTGACGCGCGTTCCGCGTCTGGTGTGAACGTGTAACAGAGGCCAGCTAGTAGATGCTGTGCAGGTAAACCTCACTCCTCTGACCTCTAAAGGTGCTCTAGCGACAGACGCTAGAGGCCATGGTCTTTAGCCTCCTTGTTAGAGCAATCGACTCTCATGCGGAAGGTTGCAGGTTTGATACCAGCTCAGAGAGGATAGGGTAGCTTAGGACCGGTGGGGTTACATTGGTGCCGTGACCCGGATGGGAGTGAGGTTTAGGGGGGTAAGTGTAACGGAGGCCAGCTAGTAGGTGCTGTGCAGGTAAACCTCACTCCTCTGACATCTAAAAGGTGCTCTAGCGACAGATGCTAGAGGCCATGGTCTTTAGCCTCCTTGTTAGAGCAACCAACTCCCATGCGGAAGGTCGCCGGTTCTATACCAGCTCGGAGAGGGTTGGGTGGCGTAGGACCGGCAGGGTTACAAACGCAGCATTATGAAGTTGGGGAAAGAATTGAGATGTTAGTCAGAATGTTCAGGCTAAAAAACAAATACTCTAGTGTTCTGAAAAAATAAACCATTGCACAACATATGTTTGATCCCAGTGTGAAATGACTTTTTAGGAACTCTATAAACATTCTGCTAAACATGTCGTGTGAGAGGACATCAACAAAACAAATGGGAGCTCTGATGAAGTAGCGGCGCTGTTAGCAACAATGGAGGACAGATGGCGAACTAACAAGGTGGTAATCACGAATTGATCAAAGTACACGTCAACTCAAAGTCTAACTAATTAAACAAGAACAACGCAATAGGTGCCATCATGTACAAACCTCTTCTGTAGCCATATAATCAGAATCACATTTACATGGCGATGCCGTTCTGAAAAGGAAACGCTTTTTGTTTGTGTTTGTAAAACATATTGCATATAAAAGACAACCCAGAAAGACGTGAATACATAGACGTCTTGGCTGAACAAGGATTCATTTGGTCAGTCAGTAAAAATTTTTATGAATGACTATGAATGACTACACATGTGAAGTCTGTCGGACTATTTAGACGTCTGTTAGATTTTCACTGACAGCTTGAATAGCCTTGTTTTAGCCAAGATCTCTATGTTTGGATGTCTATTAGACGTCGATTAAACACAAAATTGCTTGGTGGCATCATTGTCAAAGTAATCCCCATTGAGCCCACAGTTTAGGGCAAGATACTGCATCAAATATTACACAAAAAAGTGGCATTACCGATACGATGTCCTGGATCTAAGGGGCCCGTCACAAAGATGTGATCCGTGCTGGATAGATTCTGGATCCAATTTGCAAGCTCCGCCCAAATGTTTCATTCCTGCTCCCAGGTTTATCTCGAAAACCTGAACCTTGCCGTCGGACCCCTCGGCACACGTGCTGTGAAAGTAGCCCGTCTGGTAGGCTTTGATGGAGTGGTTCTGTCTATAGTCCAGATAAGATGGCAGAGGATGTCTCTGTTCCGGCAAGCCATTATCAACATCTGTAAGTTGAACCAGATGTGATCAGTGAGAATTGAAAAAATGTTAAACTCAATCGACAAAAATAAACTGATTGTCTGAAAAGTGATTGGTACCATTTGACTCCGTGGCAATTATTGTGAAGTAGCGAATGGCTCCGTTAGCATCACTGAACCAGCTGCAGTTGAACTTAAACCGGATGGTGAAATGGGTGATGACCGCTGAATGCTCATTGACCCGTACGGTCACTGGTGGGACAGGGGGCCCTGAAAAACAAAGACTGATCTGCTGAGTTTCTGTGGTAACAACATACGTAGGTACATTTGAGTTCTGTCATAGACACATCTGAGCTCTGTGGATTAAATCTAATTATAATGTGAATAGTGTTCAATTTCTTCCCTGCTAAAAAATCCAGCTTAAACCAGCCTAGGCTGGTTGGCTGGTTTTAGCTGGTCGACCAGGCTGGTTTTAGAGGGGTTTTGGCCATTTCCGGGCTGGTTTTCAGCCATTTCCAGCCTGGTCTTAGCTGGTCAAGCTGGGAGATGACCAGCTAAAACCAGCTTGACCAGCTTAGCCAGGCTGGTCAAGCTGGTTTTAGCTGGATTTAGCTGGTCCCTTTCCAGCCTGACCAGCTAAGACCAGGCTGGAAACCATATATATACCATATATATACATACATACATACATACACACATATATATATATATATATATATATATACTCTACTCTACTCTACTCTATCCTTTACTGCTATTTACTGCTCTATCCTCCCACTACATTGTTTTCGAGTGTCAAGGTTGTTCTGCCGTCACTTACTGTCGATCATAGTGATAACGCTGTTCTTTACGGTTGAGCTCTGCTTGTCTCCAGACATCACTGCGACGTAGATGGTGTAGTTTTTGAAGGGCTCCAGTCTGTCAAATTGCTGCGAGAGGGTATGGTTTCCCAGCGTGTGCGTGTACACTGCCTTCCCAGAGCCCTGTCTGTGGCACTGCACAACAAAGCCGTCGTAATCAGAGTGCGGAGGAGTCCAGGAGCAGGACACAGAGGTGGAGCTCAGGGGGAAACAGTGGATGCTCGGAGCCGGCAGTGGAGCTGTGGAGAAAAAGAAGTTTGATGGAACACTTTTTTTCCACAGTATTTCCGATAATATTTTTTCTTCTGAAGTCTTATTTGCTTTATTTCGGCTAGTATAAAAGCAGTTTTTAATTTTCTTTAAAACATTTTAAGGTCAATATTATTAGCCCCTTTAAGCTATATTTTTTTCGAAAAATATAATTCTAAGGGCAAATAATCCTGACTTCAGCTTTGTTTTCATTGCATTTCATTCAAACTGCTCAGAAGTGACCGATGTTGATAGAGGTGTACTCACGGGTTCTGATGGTGTGGTAAACGGGACGGCTGTAGGTTACAGGACTGTGTCTCTTCCCACTGACCGTGCGAAGGCTAATGTTGTAGAGCCGGCCTGGATGAAGTCCTTCGAGGATCCGCTGAGTGGGACGGAGATGAGAAATGTACAGTGTGTCCTGAGGAAACCACGTCACTTCGAAATCCTCATAGTCTCCTGTGTCTGGGACATGCCACTTCATGTCCACTGAGCCGCCAGAGCAGCTGACGGACACCGACGATGGCGCTGCGGGGACTGTGGTGATATAATGACGAGAGTCGTTTAGTTTCAGAACTGTTGTACTTTGAGTTATTCTACAGAAACGTCCTTCTTTATGGCAAAAATGTCTAAAAATTATTTAATTCCTCTGAAAACACATCCATCTCTGCTTAAATTCATTCATTTTCCTTCGGTTTAGTCTCTATTCATCAGGGATTGCCACAGTGGAATGAACTGCCAACTATTCAAGCAAATGTTTTACTTAACGGATGCTCTTCCAGCTGCAACCCAGTACTGGTAAACACCCATACACACTCATTCACGCACACACTCATACACTACAGCTAATTTAGTTTAATTCCCCTATAGCGCATGTCTTTGGACTGTGGGGGAAACCAAAGCACCTGGAGGAAACCCACGCCAACATGGGGAGAACATACAAACTCCACACAGAAATGCCAGCTGGCCCAGCCGGGACTCGAACCAGCGACCATCTTACTGTAAGGCGACAGTGCCAACTACTGAGCGACTCTGCTTAAATGATGCTTTTATATTTTTGAACATTTATTTAAAGAACATGTACCGATGTATTTGTCACTGGTGTTTCCTAATTGTTTTGCAATATTAAAATGTTAATTTTATTTTTTTATTTTTTGTTTGTGATGGGTAAAAACACTGTAACACCAGTAACAAAGAGAAGCAATGTTATACAATGAGAAACAAAATGTTATGCTGGGTTCACACCAGACGCGGAACGCGCGGGTAAATAGCCGCGTGTACATTTGAGTTTACTCACTTCATTCGCGCGTCAAACCCCGCTTCATTCACGCGGCAAATCCGCTTCATTCGCGTGTCAAATTCACTTCAGAACAGAAGCAGGGCTTGGTTAACGCGGCGCGAATGTCTGCTGAAGTTCAGATTTTCGAACTCAAGAGATTCGCGCAAACACGCATTAAGCGCATCAAACGCGCAAAACGCTCAATTCGCCCCGTGCCATTCACGCGTATTGGGCTATTCGCACCGCGCAATTCGAGTCATTCGCGCGTATCGTGCTGCAGGATGTCTATTCGTGCGTTTGCATTTTCTTAACATGTAAATCACTCGCGCTTGACGCGCGTTCCGCGTCTGGAGTGAACGCAGCATAATGCTGTGTTCATACCAGACGCGGAATACGTGGATAAATCGCGCTATTCGCGCGTAAATAGTCGTGTGAACATTTGAGGTTAATTGCTTCATTCGCGTGTCAAACCCCGCTTTATTCGCGTGTCAAATTCACTTTTGAACAGACGCGGATTCGCGTGATAGGCAGGGCTTCTGTCTGCACCGTGACTCTAGCTTTATAGCTAAATGGCTAACATGGATTTTATGAAGAAAATAACTGTGTTTATGTGCTTTATCAAGGATGATAAACAGCGTCGATACGTTTAGAGCTGTGTTTGAGTCCACTACATCCTTTCAGAGGTGCATCCAGCTCTTTAAGCTCATAAACTCCTCCAGAAACTGAACCTGGCTGATGGAGGTTTTCAGCGGTGCTTCTGACTGAGCCCAGCACAGTTTGATGAACTTCTTGTCGGTGTCTGCTGGAGGATTTCCTCTGGGACACCGACAACAGGCGATACGTCACAATCACGCCCCCACAAGAGCAAGCTCCTGATTGGTTTACGCGGCACGAATGTCCGCTGAAGTTCAGATTTTCGAACGTGAGTGATTCGCACGAAATGCGCATTAAGCGCATCAAGCGCGTTTGCATTGACTTAACATGTAAATCACTCGCAATTGATGCGCGTTCCGCGTCTGGTGTGAACGCAGCATTACAGTTCCCTCACAGTAAAGAAGGTCAGAGCAGTGAGCTAGAAGCTTAAAATGAAATCATGAACACTGAAAAATGAGGGTTAAAAAAGTTGAAATGGGGGTTTTTAAAATCAAAAGTAGACAGTCAACTTATGTTTTGCATTTTAAAATAACCGATTTGTGTTAAATGGTAACATCCTTTTTGTGTTTAATGAAATTTTAGTGCTGCTGAGGTCCTAAAAGGACGCAAATTGGCTTTTTCTTGTCGGCTTAGTCCATTTATTAATCCAGGGTCGCCACAGCGTAATGAACCGTCAACTTATCCAGCAAGTTTTTACGCAGCGGATGCCCTTCCAGCCGCAACCCATCTCTGGGAAACATCCACACACACACACACTCATACACTAAGGACAATCTAGCTTACCCAATTCACCTGTACCGCATATCTTTGGACTGTGGGGGAAACCGGAGCACCCGGAGGAAACCCACGCGAAGGCAGGGAGAACATGCAAACTCCACACAGAAACGCCAACTGTGCCAAGGTTCGAACCAGCAACCCAGCAACCTTCTTGCTGTGAGGCCACAGCACTACCTACTGCGCCCCTGCCTCAACCCACATCCTGAAACTAGCATCTAAAAAACTTTGATTTTAATATTCAGCCCTGACCTGTGCGTCCTACTGCAGTCGTAGAGTTGCTTAGATCTTCGCTCCACGTCTGCACTGTAGCAAGGTAAAGTCTTCCAGCCACCAGACTGTGGAAGACCACTTGAGTGACCTCTGGGCCCACCCGCTGCTCTCTGCCGTCCACAGTCACCGAATACCCAGTCAGTCCTCCTGGAGCAGGAGTCCAGCTCAGCAGAAGACTGTCCGTCTGACCCTGATTCTCCACATGCAGCTCTGGGACTGAGGCCGGAGCTGAAAATACAGGAGGAAAATTAGATTACCACTTTACTTGAAGGGGGTGACTCATAAGACTGTCATCTAACCTTTATAATCATGATGTGACACATGAATGAAATTTTAAGCTCGCTTATGACAACTGTTATTCTCTTTCGGATAGGGAAATTCAAAGCTATAGTGGAGAGTCCACTTTCGTTCAGAAAGCCAATTGTCTGAAAGAGTATATAATCGGGCCAATGAAATGCCAATGAATTAGCAGCATTAGAATGAATTAGAAAGCTCGTTGCAATCAATTTAGCAATATAAGCACAGCGAGAGCAAGGCTGAGGCATCCTTTTCGCTTCAGAGACTTCAACAGCCTTCAAAGAGAGTCGATGATGAGGTTTCCTCCTGCTGATCTACAGCGATTTTGAGTAAACGAGAGCGGTCTCCCGGTCCAGAGTGTGATGCACGCGGCGTCAGACGGTCGAGCTGGGTTTTCTCCTTTGCCTGGCGTTCTTCGGGTCCGGTCCTCCAGGGTGGTTAAGGTGTTGAAACACGCTTGATGCGCCATTCTCCCTAACACAGAGATTTGTGCGTTTATTCAATCTGTCAGTAAAGTTACCCGCTGAGGCGAACTATGCAGAAATTCCTCCGAGGCCCCCGGCATTGACTCAGCGGAGGAGTCACTTGCTGGCCCGTTACATTGTAGGTCTGCCCTCTGGTCAGCTTGCGTTCTGGACACAAGTGCCTGCTATGCGCCATCCCCACTAGGCGTTCCCATTCAGTCACGGTGCAGTCCCCCCTCACAGGCGGACCTGTGTATTCCCTCTCCGCTAACCATCTTATATTCATATGCGTACTCCCCCTTTTCAGGGCTAGTACATATGCTCTCTTGCCGCCTTATCTCCCCATTGGATAGCAGGTAGCCTCCGCAGCGTCCTCCCTATCAGGGCTGCACGCTTTCCCAATGTACTGTTGTATTTAAATTCCTAAAAACTATCTAGAAGCTTTTCAGGCTCCTTTTTGTGACTCCCTTCTATTGAAGAGGGATAAGTAAGGGCCAGGGATCTCGTTGGAAGACCGCGCCTCTAGCAGATGCAGGTGCGCTCACGCTTGCCTGGCAACCTCTCATCAGGGGCAGGTAAGGTGTAGTCATTATGGCGTTTTCCAGACATTTCCCCATAAGTGGATTCTCCTTTGTAGCATTGAAGTTCCCCATCTGAAGGGGAGCGCTCCAGTTACTAAAGTAACCCTCGCTCCCCGAGGGGGGGAACGAAAATGCTATATTCCATTGCCATAATGATTGTCCCTTAGCTGTGAGTTGAGTCTCTTCAGCTAAAAAGGATGCCTCAGCCTTGCTCTCGCTGTGCTTATATTGCTAAATTGATTGCAACAAGCATCAGCTGGGCAAGTTGATGCTGCCAATTCATTGGCCCGAATATATACAATTGGCTTTCTGTACGAAATCCCCATAAGTGGATTCTCCACTATAGCTTTTCCGTTCCCCCTTCGGGGAACAAGGGTTTCTTTAGTAACTGGAGCGTTATGCATATTTTTCTCAACCATGTAATTTTAAATGCAAATATGGACATTATTGTTATGACAACATGACATAAACAAATACCTCACAACCCGTTTTTGTCTTTGTCGCAACAACTTGACTTGACCAAGACAACAATTTGTTATAATCATTGAAGCAATACAATTGTTCATATTTTTCTGGTCACGTTTGCAGTGGAACAAACTTGTCTTTAAACAGTTTTGATGCAAAAACCTCTAAAAGCCATTTGATATTTTCTTCTAAAATTAGCATTTTCACCAACTCTTGTGTGTTGGTGTCACCGACTCGGTCCCGGTCATTCCCCTCGCTGGCCAGCAGAGGCCGCCATCTCCGGACTTTTAGCATAACATCATCCAACTACACTGATTGCGCATACACCTGATCTGAATCATGTTAACGACCCACGTACCTCATATAAGCCGCACTCAAACACTCAGTCAGTGCGAAGTCTTGTTCAGCCCCGGCCAGCATTACTGAGCGTTATATCCAGCCTGATCTCTTGTGTACGACTCCAGCCTGTCTCTTACTTTGCTTCGCCTTCTGCCTGCCCACGACCCACGCCTGATACACGGACTCTGATTCTTGCTGCCTGCCTTTGACCCAAGCCTGATACACGGACTCTGATTCACGCTCGCTGCTCTCTACTCATGCCTGGTAACTCACTCTGTGTCTGTTCACCGTCATTCTTGAAACCATTACTACTACTGTGGATGTGTGTGTGTGTGCACCCAGGTGCATATTGTGTGTTTGAGTGAAGTTGTGGTTAATAAATACTGCATAATGGATCCCTCCGTGTCAGTCTCCTCGTTACAGTTGGCTCAGTAATTTTACATTTATATTGACGGACGGGTTCTTTTCATTGCCTTTTAAGCGACACAACCGAACAAACATAGAAAGTTGAGAAGAATTATCATTTCAGGAGAAATTTCAGACGGCATTTAGAGGTTTTTGCATCTGAACTCTTCATTTGTCATTAAAATATCTTATTAAAAGTGTTGTTGCTCTGTCAAGTCATTTTTAAGAATGTCGTTAATATTTAATGACATTTAAATACCAATTCAGCTTGTGTCACTGTAGTTAAAGTCATTAAATATTAAAGAGCCCCTATTGTGGGTTTTCGTGAATGACCTTCCATGTAGTGTGTAACACAGCTGTAAGTGAAGTGAAATATCCAGCTAACCGTACGTTCACACCGAAAGCGGCGAGAGCGTCCAAGGTCGCTCTGGCCGCCCTGGCGACAACGCTCTCTGCCTTCAGCTCCGGCGGCGAGAGCGTCAAAACTCGCTACATTGATCTCATATTTAAAGGAGCCGTTGCAGCATATCAGTTACATTCCTGCATAAAACATGTTTCTAGCGTGAAAATGTTGCGCACTTCTTATCAAATTCATACAACAATGGAAGATCAAGTTGCGTGTGGCTTTGCTCTATTTATCCAATATGTGTCCATATGTCTGAAATATCCTGAAGCAGCAGTGCTGTTTTGTACTGTCACATCGCGTGAGATTCCCGCTTTTTTAAGATAAATATATAACATTAATGAACATCAGTAACTCGCCAGTAACTTATTTAATGCATGTTCCTTTAGGAAAAAATTGTAAATAATTGTAAATCCGGCGACCGCAATAATCAAACCCTTGGGAACAACTGTGGTCGGAACCAAAGTTCACAGGTCTGTGTTCTCTGAACTGCTATCAAGCGGTGGACGTCTTCATTCTGATTGCTTGCCGCCGAACCGCGTCATAGCTCATTACCATAAAGTTGACTTCATTTTAACTCTCCTCAACGCTCACGCCGGCGAAGACGCGCCGCGCTGATCCTCGCCGCTTATCGCCGCGTATCGCCGCCGGCTCTCATTAAAAATGAATGACTTCCGGCTACTTTGACGCTCTCGCCACTTTCGGTGTGAACGTACGGTAAGGCTTATGTAACGGCGTAAATAAGTGTGTTAAATGAATGCCTAAATGGGGACAGCGCCCTCTAGAGTGTGCGTGATGTAATAAGTGCGTGGAGTAGAGACCACCCACAGCAGAGTTAAAGAAGCATTGCTGTGGGTAAGTTGCACGTTTCTCCCGGGTGGAAAATTACCATTAATAAGTGTTTAAAACACATAAATATTAGCTTTAATGTGACTTAATGTTTCAATGAATATGTTGGGACACTGTTGAGTTGTGTTTGGCGTCGAGTGTGCTGCTCAATTTTGAGTTTATAACGTGTTTATATAACGAGGCCTGATTGAAATCAATTTGTCTTGTGTTTCATATAGAGGTGGTCATTTTCTTTGATCCAGCAGCTATTTACACGCGCTGTCTGTCTCCATTGTACAGGTATGTGTTAAATGTTATAAATGAATTGTAATTATTTTTCTTCTTCCTCAAAACGAGTTACTAAAAGTCTCCACTAGGTGGTGAAGTTTCATTACTTCTGGAGTTGAATTGTATTGCTGTTACACTCAGTGATTGTACATTGAGAATTGTGATTCATTAATTTGTCATGTAAAATTCAAAGTGTGTTATGTTTTTCATATTCTGACTGTTAAAATTGACACTATACGATCACAAAGTTAAAAAGAATTCATTGGCATATAAAAAAATATATATAAAACTGTTTTAAATAAAACAGAGCAGAGTTAACGAAGCATTGCTGTGGAGGTGGTCATTTTCTTTGATCCAGCAACTATTTACACGCGCTGTCTCCATTGTACAGTGTACAGTAAGAAGACAGCCCAAGCAAGATCGTCACACTTACGTCTGAAAGTGGACAGTTTTTAAAACTATTGCTTCATCTAAAAAAAAAAAAAGAGTCGACTATTCAGATGTTTTGGCGTGACGTGGCTATGAAACATAAGCCCCGCCCAACTGTTGAGTGCGCAAACCAGGGGAAATTTAAACCTGCGGCTCCGCCCACTAACACAGCAGCAAAGACTGAATCCTGCAGTCATCATCACGAGTCATGAAGATGCTGTGCTTACCTGGATATTATTGGAAGTGTGAGGGAAATGGGCGATTCATTCGTTTGTTAAAGGAAGAATCAGAAAAGACTGATGTGTGAGACTTGTGAGACGAAAGGACTGACGATCTACCAGGGGTGCGTGTAAAATAAGGCCAGTTTATTAGGCACAAAGGCAGCCTGCTGCAGCTGAGGAGGAGCGCTGTTGAGCGCTACAACCCCCTGGCTAGGGATGTGATCTTTGGGCAAAGCAGAGTACAGGTAAGCCCCGAGAACATTCAACACTTCCCTCAAGAGGTGCCACAGCAATAATTATAAATAGAAACGATCCACAGCTAATGAAAGATAATGGATGAAATCAGACCTGGCCCGTGACACATTTCATAAGCGCAAGTAAATTGTGCCTCTTCGTTTTCTCCAGCTTGCAAATGATGCATTTAAATGATGTTTTGGTACTTGTAACCGCTTGTGCTGCGTCAGGTTAACTCTTTATATTCTCATATCGTGTCTAACGTCACGTTGAAACGCGACACATGCCGCTTTGTTTACGGATTTAAAGCTTGAGTTTGTGAGCTCGCGTTCCATGCCATTTGCCGTTGCTATGGCCACCGTCAGCTGTTCCTACACACGTGCAGCGGTCAAGATTCAGAAAAGTTCTAGTTTTCCCTCTCGTGTGTATTAATACTGAATGTGTGTCACAGTTGACAAACCACGCTGGGCATATTACTGTCTGGTGCTGAACGCTGTCGTCCAATCTCAACAGGCTGTCACAGGTCCAATGGGGTTTGGGAACGAATGAATCACTGAACGATTCATATGGGAGTCGCTGGGATAATTAGATAAAATAAATGCAGATTAAAAGACCATGAACGTGTTTTTTGACCTTGCAGGCATATCAGTATGTGGTTGGAGACCCATATAACTGAAATATGACCCTTTTCCTTTTCAATGTATAATATGGGCTCTTTGATGACGATGTTATCAAATTCATGACATATTTATAGTGGCATCATGTTTATGACAGATTTATGACAACTTCTGTTGTCTTGGTCATGTCACGTTGTCAAGACAAAGTCAAAATCAGGTTGTGATGTATTTGTTTATGCCAAGTTGTCATAACAACAATGTCATCTTTGCATTTTAAATGTCATAACTGAGCAAATGACACTTAATAATAGTTGTTATAAGCATGCATAAAATCTCATTCACCATTATGACGTCAGGTCATGACCATCTTATGAACACCCGTTCAAGTGTTACCACTGCGACAAAGCAATTCTGAAAGTTTTTGACATTTTTTAGTCCCTCCATTTGCTATGTTTGAAAATAATGAAGATTTTGTGATGATTTTTTTTTCACCAAAAAAGCATGTGTGTCAGTCTGAGGAGGAGGAGGAAGGGAAGTTGAAAAAAATATTTAGAATTTGGACTGCAATACTTAGTTCAGCCACTAGTTGTCAGTCTTACACACTAGACCAGGGGTGCTCAATCCTGTTCCTGGAGATCTACCTTCCTGTACAGTTTAGCTCCTACCCTGATCAAACCCACCTGAACCAATTAATTAGGACCTGAAATCCACTTGATAATTACAGACAGGTGTGTTTGATAAGGGTTGCAACTGAAATCTGAGGGAAGGTAGATCTCCAGGAACAGGATTGGCCACCCCTGCACTAGACCTTTAACTTAAAATGCACTCCCTGCTGAAAAATCCAGCTTAAACCAGCCTAGGCTGGTGGGCTGGTTTTAGCTGGTTGACCAGCCTGGTTTTAGAGGGGTTTTGGCCCTTTCCAGACTGGTTTCCAGCCATTTCCAGCCTGGTCTTAGCTGGTCAATGAAAATGACCAGCCAAATCCAGCTAAAACCAGCTTGACCAGCCTAGATAAGCTGGGTATAGCTGGTTTTGGCTGGACTCCCAGCTTGGCTAGGCTGGTCAAGCTGATTTTAGCTGGTCATCTCCCAGCCTGACCAGCTAAAACCAGGCTGAAAATGGCTGGAAACCAGCCTGGAAATAGCCAAAACCAGCCTGGTCGACCAGCTAAAACCAGTCAACTAGCCTAGGCTGGTTTAAGCTGGATTTTTCAGCAGGGCCATCAAACTCAAATGAAAATCTGAACTATAAATCCCAGATACTTCTAATACTTAGGACGACTAACATTATCAATTAAAATACAGTGAAGCTTTTAAACCGTGGAATATACTGAACGCTATTGAGCTTCAGCATTCACCTGTGTGAGCCCATACGGATGACTGATTGCTCAGCTTCCCACTCTTACTGGTGATCGTCATCTTATAGTGTGTTCCCGGCTGAAGGAGTGTAAAGGACCAGCCCAGAGCATCACTCCCCAGGGTCGTGTGATAGTGGAGGGTCTCGTCTCGATCGTACAGATATAATTCATACCCGTCCACCCAGCCCACCGCTGAAGCCCAGCAGAAGGAAAGGTCACTGCTCGTGTTCGAGCACACGTGAAGTGCCGACACTGCGGATGGACCTGGAGATGTGGAAACAAAACAAAACTGCCATCATTGTTTCTGGTAAAGACGTATTTGATTACTTTATACAGTTTGTTATAGTTGAAATGTATTAAAGAGAGCTCAAAGCACTCCACTCTTGATGTTTTGGACAAAATGTCCGACAAAAATGTCAATATTTCTTGAAGAAATACAAGGATAAAGATATTTGAAATGGTATTAAATGTATTTAAAGTCAACATGAGTCGTGATGCTGGACCACAAAACAAAAAAAGTTACACTTTTTGGCTAATCTTTTTATCTTGAAATCGTTTTTTAAAAAGGGGAGTATTTAGATTTTTTTGCACCCTAATGCCCCGTTCACTCGGGGCTTCAGCGTCAGCGCTTGACTGAAGGCGTGTCTGAAGTGAATCGTCATAGAAGCGTCAGCCAATGAAATTCAGTCAGCAATAGGCCACTGTCTGAGCTGGTGTGTTCGCATATAGTGATCTGATTGGCTGACGCTTCCGTCGGCGTTGAGCTAGTCCCAACTTCTGCAGCGAGCAACGCTTCTGAAGCGGCGCCGACGGATCCGCAATGCAGTTCGGCAACGCCTGACGTCACCCATTCAAAGTGAATGGAAAGCGTTGACGCTGACGCCCCGTGTGAATGGGGCGTAAGATTCCAGATTTTCAGCCAAATATGATCATATCCCCTGTTTATTCAGCTTTCATTTGATTTATTCAGCATTTAGCTTTTATAAGTGCAATAAATTAAGATGTCCCTGCTGAAAAATCCAGCTTAAACCAGCCTTGGCTGGTTGGCTGGTTTTAGCTGGTCGACCAGCCTGGTTTTAGAGGGGTTTTGGCTGGTTTCCAGCCATTTCCAGCCTGGTCTTAGCTGGTCAGGCTGGAAAAGGGACCAGCTAAAACCATCTAAAAACAAGCTTGACCATCCTGGTTTAAGCTGGACATAGCTGGTTTTGGCTGGCTAGGCTGGTCAAGCTGGTTTTAGCTTGTCATCTCCCAGCCTGACCAGCTAAAACGAAAAATGGCTGGAAACCACCCTGGAACTGGCCAAAACCCCTCTAAAACCAGCCTGGTAGAACAGCTAAAACCAGCCAACCAGCTAGGCTGGTTCAAGCTGGATTTTTCAGCAGAGGTTTGACTGGTTTTGTGGTTCGGCGTTTATTTCAGTACTTCAGAAAAAAGATCACAAAGTACGTATAAACAACACACTTTTACAAACATTTCAGCTCTTTTCAATCATGTTTGTAAAAAAGTGAATTAATTTGCATAGTTTTTTTATTAATCGCTACTACTAGAAAGATAATAGATATTGCTACACTTTTGCTGCTCATTCATTAATTTTCTTGTTGGCTTAGTCCCTTTATTAATCTGGGGTCGCCACTGCGGAATGAACCGCCAACTTATCCATCAAGTTTTTACGCAGCGGAAGCCCTTCCAGCCGCAACCCATCTCTGGGAAACATCCACACACACACTCTGGACAATTTAGCCTACCCAATTCACCTGTCTTTTGACTGTGGGGGGAAACCGGAGGAAACCCACGCGAAGGCAGGGAGAACATGCAAACTCCACACAGAAACGCCGACTGGGTCGAGGCTCGAACCAGCAACCTTCTTTCTGTGAGGCGACAGCACTACCTACTGCGCCACTGCCTCACCCGCTTTTGTTGTATTTTATTACATATTTGATGATAATACTTACAAAAAATGCATAACTTCAGTGAAAGTATGTCTTTTAAAAAACGTTTAAAGGCATATTATGCAAATAGGTGGTTTAAACGCAGTTTTGTGGCAACAGTGTATATATATATATATATAGGCAGTCTAAATTAAATGAATTAATTTAATTTTTCATAATCACGCTTGATAAAAGCAGTCTGCAGAAGCACTGATTGACGTTCAGAGGGGGAAAGCCCCGCCCGCTAGTGATGATCTCTCCCTCATTAGCATAAACAGCCCTGAGTGAGAAGCAGCCGTCTGCCATTAGAGCTTTCGCCTGCTGAAGATAACGTACAATCGACTCGGAGGATTGTAAATGTAACTTCTTTTCTCATTTTCACAAGTGCTTGTAGCTCCGCCCTCTTTTAAAAAGAGCATCTCATTTAAATTTAAAGTGACAGTCGCCAAAATGGCACAATTTGTATCATAGCCTAAAAGGGTCAGTTTCATGAGTTATAAAACATTTTTGTTCAGTATTTTGAGCTGAAGCTTCACACACACGCTCTACACACTCACGCATACACATTTTCATCTTGTGAAAAGGGGCATAATAGGCCCCCTTTAAAAGTTGAAATGTTAAATTGTTCAAAAATGACAACTACTACTAATAAAAATGTGTCTTACGTGTTTGTCCCTCTGCAACGACGTCCTTGCTTTCCGCCGTCCCACTGAGAGTCCGAACGTGCGCTTGATACCTCCTTCCTGGAGTTAAATTTTCAAACAGGTGGTGTCTGCTAGCGGCGGGAACAGAGGCATTGTGGATGTTTGTGCCACCGTCATCCAGCAACCAGAGACGATATCCGTCATGAACTCCCACAGCTGGGTTCCAGCTCACCAGAAGACTGTGTGTGCTAAGCTCATTATCCGCCCGCAGGCCAGTGACTGTGGAGGGCTCTGAAACACACACAAACACACATTAGACAGTAGTTTCCATTTACATGACAATCTTGTGTTCAAATTTGATCAGGAATTTCGTGAAGTTTTGCCTTTTCCAATGGAAGAAACACAATAGATTGACTAACGGTGTTGCCTTGCCATGCTGAAAAAAACAGCTACAACCAACCTAAGTTGGTTGGCTTGTCTTAGCTGGTTTTAGCTGGAAGTAGCTAGTTTTAGCTGGTCTCCCAGCCTGGTCAAGCTGGTTTTAGCTGGTCTTCCAACCTGGCCAGGCTGGTCAAGCTGGTATGTCTGTCTGACCAGGCTGGTTTTAGCTGGTCTCTCAGCCTGGTCAAGCTAATTTTAGCTGGTCTCCCATCCTGGTCAAGCTGGTCTCTCAATCTGACTTGGCTGGTTTTAACTGAACTACCAGCCTGGCCAGGGTGGTCAAGCTGGTCTCTCAATCTGACTAGGATGGTATTAGCTGGTCTCCCAGCCTGGTCAAGCTGGTTTTAGCTGGTTTCCCAACCTGGCCAGACCGGTCAAGCTGGTATCTCAGTCTGACCAGGCTGGTTTTAGCTGGTCTCTCAGCCTGGTCAAGCTAATTTTAGCTGGTCTCCCATCCTGGTCAAGCTGGTCTCTCAATCTGACTTGGCTGGTTTTAACTGAACTACCAACCTGGCCAGACCGGTCAAGCTGGTATCTCAGTCTGACCAGGCTGGTTTTAGCTGGTCTCTCAGCCTGGTCAAGCTGGTTTTCGCTGGTCTCCCAGCCTGGCCTGGCTGGTCAAGCTGGTTTTAGCTGGTCTCCCATCCTGGTCAAGCTGGTCTCTCAATCTGACTAGGCTGGTTAAAGCTGGTCTCTCAGCCTGGCCAAGCTGGTTTTAGCTGGTCTCTCAGCCTGGCCAGGCTAGTTTTAGCTGGTCTCCCAGCCTGGTCAAGTTGGTTTTAGCTGGTCTATCAGCCTGACCAGCTAAAATCAGCTAAGACCACCCCACCTGACCAGCTAAGACCAGCCTGACCAGCTAAAACCAGCCTGATCAACTAAGACCGGCTAAAAAGTGACCAAAACCCCTCTAAAAACAGCCTGACCCTCTAAAACCAGCTAAGACCAACCTGACCAACTAATAAGTGTCCAAAACCCCTCTAAAACCAGCCTGACCCACTAAAACCAGCTAAGACCAACCTGACCAACTAAAAAGTGTCCAAAACCCCTCTAAAACCAGCTAAGACCAGCTAAAACCAGCTAAGACCAACCTGGTCAACTAAGACCAGCTAAAAAGTGGCTAAACCCCTCTAAAACCAGCCTGACCAGCTAAAACTAGCTACAACCAGCTAATGTTGACATGTTAGCATCGCGCAGTTGCTGCAGATTTGTCGACTGCTTGTCCATGATGCCAATCTACGGTTCCACCACATCCCAAAAGTGCTCTATTGGATTGAGATCTGCTGACTGTGGAGGCCATTTGAGTACAGTTAACTCATTGTCATGTTCAAGAAACCAGTCTGAGATCACGCTCTATGAGTTATTCTGCTGGAAGTACCCATTAGAAGATGGGCACACTGTGGGGATAGGGATAGACATGGTCAGCAGCAATACTCAGGTAGGCTGTGGTGTTGACACGATGCTCAATTGGTATTAATGGGCCCAAAGTGTGCCAAGAAAATTACCGCTACACCATTACACCACCACCACCACCAGCCTGAACTGTTGACACAAGGCAGGATGGGTCCATGCTTTCATGTGGTTGACATCAAATTCTGACCCGACCATCCGAATGTCGCAGCAGAAATCGAGACTCAAACCAAGCAGACCAGACCAGGCTCACTGGATATTTTCTCTTTTTCAGACCATTCTCTGTAAACCCTAGAGATGGTTGTGCGTGAAAATCCCAATAGATCAGCAGTTTCTGAAATACTCAGACCAGCCCGTCTGACACCAACAACCATGCCACGTTCAAAGTCCCTTAAATCAGCTTTTGTCCTTATTCTGATGCTCGGTTTGAACTGCAGCAGATCGTCTAGACCATACATGCCTAAATGCATTTAGTTGCTGTCATGTGATTGGCTGATTAGAAATTAGCGTTAAGGAGCAGTTGGACAGGTGTACCCAATAAAGTGCGTATATATTGCATAAGCAGAAAAAGACACCAAATGTGTTTTAACTGCCTTACATTACTCTAAATTGACTGATCAATTTTTGATTCTTTGGAGCCTGTTGTTGTTTATGTATATGTCTCACCAGTTCTGCCAGTAGTTGTGCTGTTGTTTGTCTGCGATCCACTGACTGACTGAACGGTCACCGAATACAGCTGGCCAGGTATGAGGTTGTAGAATTCTGCCTGTGTGATGTGCTTCGGGACACGTCTACTATCTTGAAGATGTGTCTCCTGAAACAGAGACACTGAGTAGAAGTCAAGGTCTCCATCAGCAGAGGACCATGAAACTCTGAGACTGCCGTCTGCGGTGCCAGCGCTCAGATGCACACTCTGGACCTGACTGGGCACTGAAAAGAAAAAAAAACACTCAGAGGTTACACGGAAGAAGAAAAACTACCGTGTGTTTCATTCATTCACTTTCTTTTCGGCTTAGTCCCTTTATTAATCCGGGGTCGCCACAGCGGAATGAACCGCCAACTTATCCAGCATGTTTTACACAACGGATGCCCTTCCAGCCGCAACCCATCTCTTAGAAACCCATACACTACGGACAATTTAGCCTACCCAATTCACCTGTACCGCAGGTATTCGGACTGTGGGGGAAACCAGAGCACCCAGAGAAAATCCACGCGAACTCGGGGAGAACATGCAAACTCAACACAGAATTGCCAACTGACCCTGCTGAGGCTTAAACCAAAGACCTTCTTGCTGTGAGTGGACAGCACTGCCTACTGTGCCACCGCGTCACCTCAGTATTTCATTCAAACTACATTTTATATTGGGTTCAGTGAGGTGAACTGAAACCAGTGTGTGACTGCAGGGCATGATGGGGTTTGTAGTTTGGGTAAATGATAGGGAATGTTCTCCAGCGATCCGCAAGGGCAACATTGCTGGCAATCCTAGTGATGTTTGTAAACAAATTTCGGGAGGAGCACGCGCAGAAGTTTCAGTATCGAACACGTCATCGACAATCAACCTATTACCAAATCAGTGCTTGAAAAAACCCCTATATATACCAAAGCTGTCTTACCTGCAGCATCTCACGACTTTAGCGTCACTCCACCACCCCGTCACCTCACCTCTTGCATCGAATTCCCGGGGGGAGCGTTCTGGGGCCGGGCTAGACACTTCGCTCGAATACTGATTCCTCTTTGTTCCTGATAAGGGGAGTAGCTCGAGTTGGGGTGTCTCCTCGAGCTCAGAGCCCTCCCCCCGGACAGCACGCCAAATACGCTTTATACTTAAATTAATGCAAGTGTGAACTCGTGAAATGGCTGTATTTTGTATCCAAAAAAGCGCAGCTAGTTTACACTTCTGTGATGTGTTTATATTGCAGTAGTGTCTGAGGCACAGTGTTGTTTTCTTTTTAATCTCACAGTTTTCCCCGTTTTTTAAGTCGTGTCAGTTTCGTGGAGATTTTCTCTTTTTTTTTTTTGGAGAAAAGTTTATTTCTTGTACTCTTCCATTAAATCATTATTAACACATACACTGTTAAATAATGCAGGGTTCCACCCGGGGCTTAATTTGTGCCGGAACAAGCCCCTCTGAAATCTGATCCCGCACCTGATTTTACCGATCCCCCTTCTCAACCACCCTCCTGCCCCGTCTGCTGTTCACTTTCACTTTCTTCCATGACTAATCCAACCCTCTTCACTTTCGTCCGCGACAACCCCCCGCTCTTCACTTTCATCCTTCATCTGCGACACCCCTCCGCCATCCAACGTACCCCCTCCCCTCTCCACTATCGTGTGTGACACTGCCCCATCCTCGGGTAACTAACACGCCCAATTCGTTACCCTGATCTGTTCTGGCACATCACAATTCACAAATACACCAATCAACTAAGTTAACATAGCAAATTTAAGAAGGTTAATGTTAGGTTGCCCCCCAAAAAACTCAAGAAATGTGTTTTTTCAGCTCATTTTTAAATAAGTAGTTTGAACAAGCAGCAAAATATAGTGGTCACATTTTACAAAAACAGGTCATGAATAATGATGTGTTGATATGTAAACTAAACATTACTTTATTATGATCTGACGATGAGTTGATGCATGCGCTAATCATGAAGTAATTTTAACTACAACATGAATCACATGAGTAACGGCTACCTTAATTACTTGCTTACTTTTTAGTCGCTCGGCAGAACTACAGTTCGAACCGCTGTGGTTTAAAGACCGTTCTTACACTTGTTTGTTAATTGATGTATTAATTACCACAGTTTATGCTTTATTTAACCATCATGAACTCATGAGCTATGAATATATAATTATGTCATGACTTTACTTGGAGGGGTACATCATCATTAACCCATTCTTAACTACTCGTGAACTCCTTATGCGCATCCGTCTAGTGCATTTACAATGCATAACAGTAGAAACGTGTTCCGTCAACAGCAACATGGACAGTTTAAACTGTTGGAGAAAAGGAATTTATTTTTATTGATTTTGTGTCTTTATTTTTTATTAGAAAAAGGTTTAGACTAACAACAGATTAATCAATCTTTCTTATTGTATTATAACCCATCTTGACCAGACACACTTCCTTTTTTTTACTGTGCTGCATACTATTTTAAGGAACATGCTGACAAGTGGAAAAATCAGAATAAGAATAAGTGTGGGGGCCTTTGTTTAATACAAAGTCTAGACATGTCACAAGTTGACATGATGCTTGTAGAAGTTGTGAAATACATTAAAGATGCACGTAATTGTTCAGTTCTGGTATGCAGAGAAGGGTTGCCGAAAGAGGAAGTATGTCTAGGGGTTACAAAGAGCCAAAGAACTGCAGAATGGCTGATAAGTGACGTTTAACCAAAACTCCAGCTTTTAAGATCAGTTGTGTATATATGCTGGAGTCAGGAAATGTATGTGAGTTGCGAACCTCTTGAATGTAATTCTTGTATTGCGTTGGGTTAACGCAACCCAGAGCTCTGTCATCAAATTATTCATTTGTGTCTAATAAATTACTAATATTTTTGGCATTGAAGAAAACCCTCTCCAGACCTTTTCTTATTGAACACGCGTGGAATTGGCTTGATATTCCATCAAAACACAGGAGTTCATGAGTTGTTAAGGAGGAGTTCATGACGATGGGCCCCTCCAAGTAAAGTCATGATATAATTATACATTAACAGCTCATGAGTTCATGTTGGTTATATTTAACTTAAATGTTAATTAATACCGGGCGAAGCAGTGTTGCAGCAGGTAGTACTGTCGCCTCACAGCAAGAAGGTCGCTGGGTCGCTGGTTCGAGCCTCGGCTCAGTTGGCGTTTCTGTGTGAAGTTTGCATGTTCTCCCTGCGTTCGCGTGGGTTTCCTGCGGGTGCTCCGGTTTCCCCCACAGTCCAAAGACATGCGGTACAGGTGAATTGGTAGGCTAAATTGTCCGTAGTGAGTGTGTGTGAATGTTTCCCAGAGATAGGTTGCGGCTGGAAGGGCATCTGCTGCGTAAAAACTTGCTGGATAAGTTGGCGGTTCATTCTGCTGTGGCGACCCTGGATTAATAAAGGGACTAAGCCGACAAGAAAATAAATTAATGTTAATTAATACGTTAATTAGGTCAAAGCAAAAACTAAACTATCTGAACACACAACAATCTATATTTTATAGAGTGTATACTATATTTCCTCACAGTAGCTTCAAACGGTACCTGTGCGTCCCTCAAGGATCTCCGCGCGCTGATATGACCCGCTGTGAGTCGACAGCACAATCTTGTAGAGCCTCCCTGGTGTGAGCGCAGAGAACAGGTGTTCCCCAATGGCGCTGCTTAGATTTACAGCTGCGGACACCTGCGTGTCATTAAAGAGGATCTGAAGCTCATAGTGGTCAACATCTCCTGGAGCGGACGTCCAGCTGACCCTCAGAAAAGTGCCTCCGCGCTCAGTCAGGGACAAATTACCCACAGCACCCGGGACTGAAAACACAAGAGCGAAGGAAGAGGAGTTAATCGCCACCAGAATATTATCAAGTGGCCATGATTATTTGAATTAATCGAGAGTTGACCGTACATCACATACAACTCCTTTCTCGAGCGTTGATCAGCAACTTTAGCATCCACTCATTATCGGAGTACACTCAGATTGTACACTCTGTTGTTTTGACCCAACATTGCTTTAAATATTAACCATCACAACATTATTTTTTTAACCCATTGGTTGGGTTTGTCCATGTTTGACCCAATGGGAGTTTGGTTAAAACAACCCAGCATTATCTCTAATAATAATATCTCGTTCTCGTTTATTAAGATCTTACCACCCTACTGAAAAAAACAGCTTAAACCAGCCTAGGCTGGTTGGCTGATTTTAGCTGGTCGACCAGGCTGGTTTTAGAGGGGTTTTGGCCACTTCCAGGCTGGTTTTCAGCCATTTCCAGCCTGGTATTAGCTGGTCAAGCTGGGAGATGACCAGCTAAAACCAGCTTGACCAACTTAGCCAGTCTGGGAGCCCAGCCAAAACCAGCTATGTCCAGCTTAAACCAGGCTGGTCAAGCTGGTTTTAGCTGGATTTAGCAGGTCAGTTTCCAGCCTGACCAGCTAAAACCAGCCAACCAGCCTAGGCTGGTTTAAGCTGGATTTTTTTGCAGGGGAGTAGATGTCGGTTACAGACCTGTGCGCTGAATCAAATAGCCTAGAATCCCCAAGAGGCGACACTCTAGTACGATTTGGAAAACAGCCACTAGAAGGCACGGCGGCCATTTTGGAATGAAAATTCCAATAGAACAACAGCATAGTATAAGTCTGTAAAATAAACTATTAAAAGTGCTGATGATTGTGTTAGTAAGTGTTGTGTTGTCGTCTTTCAGGTTCTATCTCAGCTTCAATGCGCATTTTAAATAAATAAATAAAAAACAAAGCATCACGACAGCAATAAGATCCAATGGACAGCGGATCTCTTTCACTCCAAAATGGCGGAATCCGGGGCTGTTTCTGGGCGCTGCTGTTGCAATGGAACGTTCTATTAAGTGTCGCCTCTTGTCCATTCTAAGCTCTTTGGCTGTATTCTGCGGTGTCACGTGGTTGTGTTTTGCTTCGCGTGTCGCCTATCAGCTATTTAGGCTGTACCTTGTTCGGTTGTGTCTATATCTGAGTGACAGTGTTTTACTTGGTTGTCAGTACGTTATTGTTTGTTTATGTTTATGGTCTTCCAGGGCTCCCGTTGGACGCTTCTCTGGCGTATATCTGGTGCATCACCTGAAACTACGGATACTGGAAGCCTGTGCTGGCATTTCTCCTGCGGTGTTGCTATCAGTTAGTGAAGAGAGGAAGAAGAGGGTTGCATTGACAATCCAACACAGTGGGCAGCACATTGAACACATTTTATAAGTGGTCAGAAACTTGTAAATAACTCATGAAAGAATAAAGTTGCGTTAAAACCCAGCACACCATTGTTTTTCTTGTCAAATTCCCAATAAGTTTGATGTGTCACATGACCCTCTTCCTATTGAAAAAAACAAAAGTTGGATCCAAGATGGCCGACTTCAAAATGGCCACCATAGTCACCACCCATCTTGAAAAGTTTACCCCCTCACATATACTAATGTGCAACAAACAGGACGTTAATATCACCAACCAATCCTATTTTATTAAGGTGTATCCATATAAATGGCCCACCCTGTATGTACATACGAATAATCTACTTGCCAAATGAAATATTTCAATTTGATAATGATTAAAAACAGGACGTCACTCACATGTGCGGCCGTATATAGAGACTGCAGAGTAGTGCTGGCCGCTCCAGGTGCTGACGGTCAAGTTGTAGAGACGTCCTGGAACCAGATCACTGAACGCACAATCGCTCTGAGTCCTGTTGAGCTTCTGACTCTGAAGACGTGTGCCGTTATGCTCAATCGTCACTACATAATAGTCATAATCCCCAGACGCGTGATTCCAGTAAAGCTTCAGAAAGTCATCCCTGGCGGAGTGAATGGCGGTAGGGTTCTGGACTGTGGATGGTTCTGAAAGAGGGAACAAGGCATTTGATTTGTTTTCATTTATTCACCACAATCAATAGCTTTTTCAGTCGTAATGTGCATTTTTTTATGTAGGCTACATTTTTGGGAACCGTAAAATACGTGGCCCTGGCTACATCTGCTACCGTATTCATTTTTTGCACACTCAAATACGTTACAACACCACGTTTTCTTATACATGCCATTTCTCGTAAATCCACCAGAGGGTGCTGTGTATATTTGTGCCAACTTCAACATCACGTGTCCATGAGACAAGCCAGTCGGCTTTGTTTTACCTGGTTTCTGGAAGCGTCCTTCATCTGACTGGAAACACAGTCTGCTCTGCTCAACATCCCGAGATTGATGCCATACAAGGTGGGTCACGGTTGTAGGTTTGTGCACACTCCCGAGTGTCAGTTTGGTCACATGGTTTTGTTTTGGTGTTGCACCTGTATGTTGCGTCAGTGTTATGTCACGTGCTGTCCAGATTAGTCATATAGCTTGTTGTCTCGGCTAAATCTGGACAGCGCGTCTCTTGTCTCTAGTCAGTTCGTTGTTGGTCTTTTATGCATTTTCTGTCTGTTGTCAGGACACGGATATTACTTAGAAACCCCGATCCGCTACTCCCGTTCCTGTCTGCATGCGACCACTTTTGTTTATTTCTGTTTAGACTTTTTCCTGGATATATTGACTCTGTCAGTAAGGTTTTTTTCTTGCAGTTGTATCCTATTCTAGTACTCATTCTGACCTGTTACAAGGTGAGCTTCCAAGCAAACTGGTCACACTGGACAAGTCGTCCATATGGAGGTATGCAAAGAAGTTGTCGGCAGCATCAAACCTTGCTGTAGCATTCATTTTACACAAAATGCAGGCACATGTTTCATGATTTCCAAAAATGTAGCCCTGGGCACATATTTCTAGTGAGCCTGTTTTATCAGAAATGTCAGTTTTTAGAAATTTAGACTTGAATTTAGCTGAATACACTTGCTTGTAAAAATACGACAATATTTAGAGAGAAAAAACTGTAAATATGGAATCTGACGGTTAAAAAAACGAAACGCTCATAAAATCACCTTTAAAGTTAAAATGAATGCATATTACTAATCCAAAACGTAGTTTATTTATAACTATGGAAGGAGATTTACTAAATGTTTTTTATGGAAGATGATCTTCACTTAATATTTGAAGGACTTTCGGCATAAAATAAGACTGAATAGTTTTGATGAATATCCTACAATGTATTTTTGACTACTCCAAAAATATAACCATGTAGCATACGACTGGTATTGTGGTCCATTGTAATATTTGGTAGCATGAGTAATTAAAATGTATTAATATTAATTTCATAATTTTCCAAAACAGAGTTTAAACAGTTTAAAATAGTATTGTCTGTGATAGATGTCATGGTGTATATGTTGTTAGCTTGTTTTTTTTTTTTTTAGATTTGGACCTTAGATTTAGATTTGGGCTGTGTCCGAAATTGCATACTTCCATACTATATAGTACGCTAAAATCAGTATGCGAGTCGAGTAGTATGTCCGAATTCATAGAATTCGAAAATCAGTATGCGAGAAGTACCAGAATGACTTACTATTTCCGGCGAGATTCTGAAGTGCGCATTCCATGCACATTGCGCTATCCCATGATGCCCCGCGAGAGAATTCGTGAATGGGAGTAAAGCGACGCAACTGACGCAGGAAGGTCACGTGACCATGACAAAATGGCGGATGTAGTACGTCCGAATTCCATTCATACTTTTCACATTCATACTGTATAGAGCGTACTTTTCTAACGGCCGAGTAGTACGTTCAAATTCAAACGGAGTAGTAGGCGGTTTCGGACGCAGCCCTGGTCTGTAGTAAATTTTGATTGATCGATTGATTAAAAGTATCTAAATTTTAAGGATCAAGGTAGAACAAAATTTAATTTGGCTAAAAGACAAAATGGTTGATGTTCTCATCACTGTAATAAAGATTTGAATTATTATTTTTCAAAAATCATTGTGTTATATTTTCAGGCCTGAATTTGGTGTCAGGTTCTGCAAATTTAACTGAAAGCCACATAGAAATCTGATATAGTGCAATTTATGCTAACCGACAGCTAGCTCTCTGCAACTCTCACATGTTTGCCCACTGAAGATTAGCAGGGTTGGATGGGAGACCACATGGGAAAGCTAGTTTGCTGCCAGAAGTAGTCTGTGTGGGTCCTAACGCTCCAGTATATTGATTGGGACTGCTCAGTGAGCACCGTTAAACCTTGGTCGTTAAAAATCCTAGGATGTCCTTCAGAAAAGACCCTAGCATCCTGGCCAAATTTGCCCACCGGCCTCCTAACCCTCCCCATATCATAATTGACTTCATCACTACAAACAGCTGGTGTGTGGTGAGCGGTCTGGCACAATATCAACCCAAGCTCATTCTGAAAACGTAGTCCCGCGGATGTTTCTGGAGACAGCGGAATACGTCCCAGGGGGTACATACGGCGCGTTTATTTTTTTCAAGCGAACGCTGCGGGGTGGTGTGACGCCGTTCCCTTTCGCGCTTGCCTTACCTACTTGTGGAGGGCTTCCACACTGCAACCCGTTTGTCCACTCAGCTCAGCGTGTACGTCGGCAGGCTCGAGATGCGGAGAGGGGTCGACCACGGTGACCGGTTACGAGTCCGGGGAAGAGCAGCTCCAGCAATCAGGTAAAACAGAATCCCAAAAATTAAGTGAACGAGTTTCGTTACAGGGCGAGAACGCGGCGAAATCCGAAAACGAGGTCATATTTGGACTTCATATACAGTGGGTACGGAAAGCATTCAGACCCCATTAGATTTTTAATTTTATCGCAGCTATCTGCTAAGATCATTTAAGTTCCTTTGTTGTCTTCATTGATGTACACACAGCAACCCATATTGACAGAAAAACACAGAATTGCTGACATTTAGATTTATTAAACAAGAAAAACTGAAATATCACATGGTCCTAAAGCCTGGTTTATACTTCGCTTAAGTGCGCGCAACGAACGTGACGTCAACGTGGAAATTGCGGATGTTCGCTTTTGGTGCGCGCGACATGATTTTGGCTAGCGGTGCGTATGGTTTTTTTGAGACTCGAACTAACAGTGAGCGCGGCACCGCAACTGATTTGAGTTGAATATGAAACACTAAATACAAAATATATTTGTATTGCCATTTCACGTATGTATTTTTGCATATATTTCCAGAAGTTCCTACTTGTTCTCTCCTGAAGCAGCGTTTGGTTCCTGTAGCTGCCGCTGTGTGTGGCGATGGAGATGCTGTAGAGCCGTCCTGAGACCAGGCTCCTGAACACGCACTCTGTGGTTGCTTTGGATGTGGCAAGAGTGTGCACGATCTTCTCTTGGTCTTTCAGCATCACGACGTAATTGTCCACGTCTCCTTCTGCCGCCTTCCATGAAACGTTCAGAAAGTCTGGGCCACTGTTAGTGACTGTAATGTCCGAAACAGCAGCAGGCACTGAAAAAGTGAGAAAGATATAAGAGAAAACACATGAAATAAAGATACACTCTTAAAAGGAGGCCTGTTATGCCCATTTTAACAAGATTTAAAATAGATCTCCGATGTCTCTACAATGTGTAGGTGAAGTTTCAGCTCAAAATACACAACATATATATTATAACCCTGCTAAAAAATCCAGCTTAAACCAGCCTAGGCTGCTTGGCTGGTTTTAGCTGGTCGACCAGGCTAGTTTTAGAGGGGTTTTGGCCACTTCCAGGCTGGTTTCCAGCCATTTCCAGCCTGGTCTTAGCTGGTCAAGCTGGGAGATGACCAGCTGAAACCAGCTTGACCAGCCTAGCCAAGCTGGAAGTCCAGCCAAAACCAGCTATATCCAGCTTAAGTCAGGCTGGTTTTAGCTGGATTTGGCTGGTCATTTTCCAGCCTGACCAGCTAAGACCAGGCTGGAAACCAGTCTGGAAATGACCAAAACCCCTCTAAAACCAGGCTGGCCAACCAGTTAAAACCAGCCTAGGCTGGTTTAAGCTGGATTTTTCAGCAGAAAACTCTCTCAATCTGATCCAAATTGTGGCGTTTTGGTGACTGTCGCTTTAAATTCAAATGAGATTGTGCTCTTTGAAAAGAGGGCGGAGCTACAAATGCCTATGAGTCAGCATAGTGGCTGACTCAAAACTCGAATGGCGGACGGCTGCTTCTCACTCAGAGCTGCTGTTTATGCTAATGAGGGAGAGATTGTCACTAGTGGGCGGGGCTTTCCCACTCTGATGACACGTACAAACTGAGAAAGTCAAAGTGTTTCTGCAGACAGTTTAATTATAAAAAAATTTAATTAATCCCTACTGAAAAAAACAGCTTAAACCAGCCTAGGCTGGTTGGCTGGTTTTAGCTGGTCGACCAGGCTGGTTTTAGAGGGGTTTTGGCCATTTCCAGGCTGATTTCCAGCCTGGTCTTAGCTGGTCAGGCTGGGAGATGACCAGCTAAAACCAGCTTGACCAGCCTAGCCAGGCTGGGAGCCCAGCCAATACCAGCAATGTCCAGCCTAAACCAGGCCGGCTGGTCAAGCTAGTTTTTGCAGGATTTAGCTGGTCAGTTTCCAGCCTGACCAGCTAAGACCAGGCTGGAAATGACTGGAAACCAGCCTGGAAATGGCCAAAACCCCTCTAAAACCAGCCTAGGCGACCAGCTAAAACCAGCCAAACAGCCTAGGCTGGTTTAAGCTGTATTTTTCAGCAGGGATACATTTTCACCATTAGAGGCTGGCTATATTCACACACAGCTGCCACATAACTGTGCTTAAACTCCTTATAAAAGGGATTGTTGCATACTAGGTCCCCTTTAAAAAAAAAAAAAGCTGGGTTGTTGTAAATCAACATTGGGTCAAATATGGACAAGCTCAAATTCAAATGAGTTGGTTTTGTCCATATTTGACCTACCTGTAATGTTGCGCTACAACAACCCAACATTAGTAGTGTAAGAAAGGTGTAACTCTTGTGTTGGAACTTCAGCTCTATTCATAGCTGAAAGTGGATTCATTTGGGAAACGGTCCGTTTAGTGAGTTTGAATGTTTTCATGAAGTATGTACGGTGTCGATCTGCTCTAGAGTGTGTAACTGCCCTCCATTGTTTGAGCCGTTTCACAAGAGATCATCAAACACTTGTTGAAAATAGAAAGCGCATTTGAGAGCAGCAGGAAGTGTTTAAAATGACCCGGTCCTTTCATGCAGGGCTTCCTGAAATTCCATAAATCCCCTTTGTGCTCAACTGCGAATTTTCATTTCTTTTTTCTTTTGGCTGTTGTGATTTGAATTGAGAGTTACGCAAAACATTACAACATGTATTAAAATCTAGGGTCACAATTTATTTTGATGGTCCGTTTGTTGAATTGAAATCACACTGCATCTGCAACTACTGCAATTTTCATTAGGTTATAAGTAGACTGTTAGGTTGGGGTTGGGGTTAGTGTAAGTCAGTAAATGTCTGTTGAACGAGCAGTATCAGCAGATATTGAGCAGACAGTCTAATACTCAAATGGACCATCAAAATAAAGTGGTACCAAATCTAGGTGTCATGTCTATGTTAATGTTACATTGACTCAAAGAATGTGTAATAAGAGGGACCAGAAGATTTTTTTTTGCAGTATTTAATGATCTAGGCGCAAAGTCTAAAGTGTCTAAAGCATTAACGGCATTTCCGAATCTTTCCGAACTTTTGCTATTTTAAGGACGTAAAAATACAGTTTGCACCCTGGCGCATGGTCTCTTAATGAGTTATAGGTGTGTTTTGAGCATAACGTGCATTAAGCCAATCAGAGTCTCATCTCACATTCCCTTTAAGAGTCAGTTGTGTCATGGCGCATTTGCTATTTACATGGTAGACATTGTAAGTGGAAAAACTGAACGCTTCACTAGCGAGAAAACAGTTAAACAGAGCATCTGCAGCGCGAGGATAAAGAACGAGCCTCCTCCATTCAGCCTCTTTACTTTCGCTTTACTTCAGTTTTACTCTTTACTCCTTTACTTTTGTGGATACGGAAACGGTGTTGTACTCACTCCACTAAAGACATCCATTAGCCTACATGTTTAATTATGTTTGCTAAACACAAAGATTCACAATTCTAAATTCAGTTCTAATCTCCAGCAAACGAATAAATGAACAATAATAACGAAGTTTAGTTATATCCAAACACCCGTACTGTTCTTATGCCCAATATGGTGATGCGGACATCTCCAAAACCTGAAAGGTGGACAAATCTAAACTTGTTTTTATTAAAACTAATGTGTATCTGCATATAATAAATTGATTTGCTATTTTAACAACGTACTGCAAAACGTACTGATGTGTTGGTCTGAAAATAACACCCAATCGCTACATAGACGTCTTGCACCTTATTACGCCGGGTGTCATTTAATACATCTAACCAAAAAAAAAAAAACTATTACATTACAAGCTTTTTTGTACATAAATCATCTAAATATTTGCAAGGGAATAAACATATATGAATCAAGAGTGTAACGATACACGTATTCGTATTGAACCGTTCAGTACGAGACTTTCGGTTCGGTACGCATTACAAACCGAACGATTCAGACTAATATCTTAAAAGTGAAAAAAGAGAATAAGTGTACAAAATATAATGTTTTCAGTGCAACAACGCTCAACAAGGCATCCCAAATGACGTGACAGACAACATGCTGCCTTCTCCGCCCACCTCCAAACGCTACTTCAGTCAGGCACACACTGCACTAGCTCGCAAAATGGCTACAACGTTAACGTAATCCTCCTTTAACCAACAGCGGGTCTAGCATTTGGGAACACTTTGGTTTTGGTACATTTGTAGCTGTGGATATGAGACAGGGCTCGAAATTGCGACCGTTTTGATCGCATATGCGCCCGAAATTTAATCTATGCGATGTGAAAATATATTTGGGAGTGCATATAATTGATGTTGTGCGACCAGTTTTCACAGCAAAATGTTGCGCACCACATGCGCGGAATTAGGAGGCATTCACGCATTAAGCATCTTTGCACCTAAAAACGCCAAACATGGCGCTTGGGAATGGTTTAAAACAGTTGCATGCTTGCCCCACCTTCAAGCTCTTCTTATTGGCCCACTGCGCTGGAACAGAACGCGAATGGATTGGTTAATATCAGCTGTCAATCCCTCAGTTCCGATGACAGGGAGCTACAGCCGTGAAAACGTAAAGGTCTGGGTCCGAGAGAATGAAAACAACACTGACAGATTTAGTTTTAGAAACCACCTAAAGTTACTAATAATGGCACATCTGATCAGTGCTCAAGTAATGAATGTCGATCCAGCAGTTACACTTTTCCAAGACTGGATAAAAGACTTCCAGTGGTTGTAGTCCGCAATGAAAATGACTAAAGCATTCACCGTGAGCATGAGATGTTCTAACGTTATTTAATTATTTAATTGTCACGATCCTTTTAGTCGTGCGACTGACATAAAAAGACCCTTACTGCTATTAAGATGACGTATTCAACTAATAAGTTACATGTCAATATAATCTGTGCAAGATCAGCACCCGTGAGAACACAGCACAGTTGTTATTGTTAACTAATTATAGGGCTGATAAATTAAAATTAGAGAAATCCTCTTTTCTTTTTTTGCCGTATCGAAAACATGCTGAACTGTGACACCACTGTGCTGTATCGAACCGAACGGAGATTTTTGTGAACCGTTACACCCCTAATATGAATATAAACAGACTACATGACAGGTTCAAGTTTTCTATGTGCACAGATTCTGTGTGGACCTATATATTTCGATTTGCATCCTTTTTGAACGATGGTTATTTAGCTGGATTCGACATTTACACAGAATGTTACCTGTCCGACATTCAGCCTCAGCTAGTTTGGATGTTTGTGATCCGCTGATTGTGGTCACCAGTATCTTGTGTAAAGCGCCGGGTCTAAGGAAGGGAAGCAGTCTTGAGGTTGTGTTTGCAGAAGCTGTAATGTTGTGGACCGTCTGTTGGTCCCTCAACAGCAGCATGTGATAGAAATCCAGATCCCCGAGCGGTTTCTCCCAGCTTGCATTCAGACTGTCTGTACTCCCCTTGTTGCTTAGTTTCAGGTGATTCACCTTCAGAGGCTCTGAGAATAAAGCACAAGATTACAATCAGGTTCTTTATGCTTCTAAAGCTGCGGTCACACTGCACTTTTCTCCCCATAGACTTCCATTCATACGCACACGAATGCGTCAGACTGGAAACGCAAGCTCGTGCGACAGCTTTCGCAAGTCACTGCACTGAAATCACATCACTTGACTGCGTGAGACCAATCGAGGATCAAAACATGACCTCTCTGGACAGAAATTGAAAATATGGACCCGTCGCTTGCTAAATGTCTACCCTTCTGAAAAAACGAGCTTAAACCAGCCAAAGCTTGTCAGGCTGGTTTTAGCTGATCACCAAAGCTGGTTTTAGCTGGTTTCCCAGTTTGGTCATGGCTGATTTGTCAGGCTGGTTTTAGAGGGGTTTGGGCAACTTTTTAGCTGGTCTTAATTGGTCAGGTTGGTCTTAGCTGGTTTTAGCTGCTCAAGCTGGTCTTAGCTGTTTTTATCTGGTCAAGCTGGTTTTATCTGGTCAGGCTGGTTTTAGAGGAGTTTTGGCCACTTTTTAGCTGGTTTTAGTTGGTGAGGTTGGTCTCAGCTGGTTTTAGCTGGTTAAACTAGTCTTAGCTGGTTTTAGCCGGTCAGGCTGGTTTAGGGGCGTTTTGGTCACTTTTTAGCTGGTCTTAGTTGGTCAGGTTGGTCTTAGTTGGTTTTAGCTGGTCAAGCAGGTTTTAGCTGGTCAGGCTGGTTTTAAAGGAGTTTTGGTCACTTTTTATCTGGTCTTAGTCTGTCAGGTTGGTCTTAACTGGTTTTAGCTGGTCAAACTAGTCTTAGCTGGTTTTAGCTGGTCAGGCTGGTTTCAGAGTCGTTTTGGTCACTTTTTAGCAGGTCTTAGTAGTTCAGGTTGATCTTAGCTGGTTTAAGCTGGTCTTAGCTGGTCAGGCTGGTTTTGGTCACTTTTTAGCTAGTCTTAGTTGGTCAGGTTGGTCTTAGCTGGTTTAAGCTAGTCTGAGCTGGTCAGGCTGGTTTTAGCCATTTTTTAGCTGGTCTTAGTTGGTCAGGTTGGTCTTAGCTGGTTTTAGCTGGTCTTCGCTGGTTTTAGAGGGGTTTTGGCCACTTTTTAGCTGGTCTTAGTTGGTGAGGTTAACCTTAGCTGGCTTTAGCGGGTCAGGCTGGTTTTAGAGGGGTTTTGGCCACTTTTTAGCTGGTCTTAGTTGGTCAGGCTGGTTTTAGCTTGTCAGGCTGGTCTTAGCTGGTCAAGCTGGCTATTCTTAACTGGATTAAGCTGGTCAGGCTGGCTGGTCTTGACTGATTTTAGCTGGTCAAGTTGGTCTTAGCTGGTCAGGCTGGCTGGTCTTAGCTGGTTTCAGCTGGTCAGGCAGGCTGGTCTTTTGACTAGCTAAAACCAGCCTGGCCAGGATGAGAGACCAGCTAAAACCAGCTTGACTAGCCTGGCCAGGATGGGAGACCAGCTAAAACCAGCTTGACCAGCCTGGCCAGGCTGGGAAACCAGCGAAAACCAGCTTGACCAGGTTGAGAGACCAGTTAAATCCAGCCTGGTCAGATTGAGAGACCAGCTTGAAAAAGCCTGGCCAGGCTGGAAAACCAGCCAAAACCAGCCTGGCCAAGATGAGAGACCAGCTAAAACCAGCTTGACTAGCCTGGCCAGGATGGGAGACCAGCTAAAACCAGCTTGACCAGCCTGGCCAGGCTGGGAAACCAGCGAAAACCAGCTTGACCAGGTTGAGAGACCAGTTAAATCCAGCCTGGTCAGATTGAGAGACCAGCTTGAACAGCCTGGCCAGGGTGGGAGACCAGCTAAAACCAGCTACTTCCAGCTGTTTTTTAGCAGGGTAATCACCTTATTTATTCCCGCCCCTTTTCACAGCGCCATACAACAGAATTCCGCAAGCTCAAACTCAAGTGCAGGGATCACCAAACTGCAGATTTTAGCTCCGACCCTAATCAAACACACCCAAACAAGCTTATTAAGGTCTTACTAGGTTTACTGGAAACACCCAGGCAGGTGAGTTGAAGCAAGTTGGAGCTAAAGCCTGCAGGGCACCGGACCTCCAGGAACGAGATTGGTGACCCCTGCACTAGTGTGACTGCGGCATTATGCAGGAGTGGGCAAACTCGGTCCTGGAGGGCCGGTGTCCATAGTTCAGCTTGAACTCTAATCAAAAACACCTGAACATGCTAATCAGTGTCTTCAAGATCATAAGCAGGTGTGTTTGATTAGAGTTGGTGCTCAACTGTGGAGGACACCGGCTCTCCAGGACTGAGTTTGCCCACCGCTGTAATGTTTCATTATAATTATTCTATCTCTTATCACTGGCTAGTGCACTGAATTTTAATACTTAAACGAACTTTAATCAAGTTATTTTAATGATTATTTAATTAATTTAAATATATTACAGTTGATTGGTGTTACTAACAATAACATTAAATGCTATGTGCGAGCTGATTGTTTGCTCACTTTTAGCGTTGACAGCATTTTTTATTTCATTTAATGCCTTATTGTTACTGAAATCAGTTTTAAACACATTTCCTAATATCTTTCTTTTTAATCACCACCACATTTTCAATCCTGCAATGATTATTTTGTGTACTGTAGGCCAAACATGTTTTGTTTTTTGTAATACTTTATAATTAGTAAAATAATACTTTACTTTATTAACAGGTTCAATTTTTCATGATTCATAGGCTTTTCCCACTTATGTACAATTATGAAATGTATTTTGGGGCATATGAAAATTCAGCTGAACAATTTAACAAAGTAACTTTAATTTTGGTAACTCGAAACAATTTCAAAATAACATTGTAAAATGGCGGTTTATTACTGATTTTTGTACCACTATTGACAATACAATCCAGACAATATGTCATTTCAAACTATTAAAAATATCTATAAAAGTTATTTTTTATAACTTATCAACATCAAAGGTTGTTAAAGGAAAGATCAAATTCCCATAATGCAATTCATAAGCATAAATGAAAAATCATGTGAATCACAAAACTGTAAACTGTTCATATATACACTCGCTGGCCACTTTATTAGGTCCAACTGCACGTTGACCCAAATTTCTAATCAGCCAATCAAACGGCAGCAACTCAATGCTCTAAGGCATGTAGACATGCTCAAGACGATCTGCTGCAGTTCACATGGGTAAGAAAGGGGATTTTAGGGACTTTGGATGTGGCATGATTGTTGGTGCAAGAAGGGCTGGTCTGAGTATTTCAGAAACTGCTGACCTACTGGGAGTTTCAAGCACAACCATCTCTAGGGTTTACAGAGAATGGTCTGAAAAAAGAGGAACTATCCGGTGAGCGGCAGTTCTGTGGGCGCAAATGCCTTGTTGATGCCAGAGGTCTGAGGAAAATAGCCAGACTGGTTCCAGCTGATAGAAAGGCAACTGTAACTCAAATAAGCACTCGTTACAAAGAGTAGAGCATCTCTGAACACACAACACGTCCAACCTTGAGGCGGATGGGCTACAGCAGCAGAAGACCACACCGGGTGCCGCTCCTGTCAGCTAAGAACAGGAAACTGAGGCTACAATTCACACAGACTCACCAAAACTGGACGATAGATGATTGGAGGAATGCTGCCTGCTCTGATCTTGATTTCTGCTGCCACATTCAGAGGGTAGGGTCAAAGTTTGGCATCAACAACATGAAAGAATGGATCCATGGATCCATCCTGCCATGTCATAAAGTGTGAACCATCTCAGACTGGTTTCCTGAACATGACAATGATTTCACTGTACTCGAATGGCCTCCACAATCACCTGATCCCAATCCAATAGAGCACCTTTGGGATGTGGCGGACGGGGAGATTCACATCATGGATGTGCAGCCGACAAATCTGCAGGAACTGCGCGATGCTAACATGTCAATATAGGCCAAAGGAATAGTTCCAGTACCTTGTTGAATCCATGCCACGAAGGATTAAGGCAGTTCTGAATGCAAAAGGGGGTCTAAGGCGGTACTAGTAAGGTAGTAAAGTGGCCGGTGAGTGTATATATTTCAACCCAAGCTCGTTCTGAAAACGTAGTCCCGCGGACGTTTCTGGAGACAGCGGAATACGTCCTGGGGGGTACGTACGGCCGCGTTTATTTATTTTTTCAAGCGAACGCTGCGGGGCGGTGTGACTCTGTTCCCTTTCACGCTTGCCTTACTTCCTTGTGGAGGGCTTCCACGCTGCAACCCGTTTGTTCACTCAGCTCACCGTGTACGTTGGCAGGCTCGAGATGCAGTGAGGAGTCGACCACGGTGATCGGTTTCGAGTCCGGGGAAGAGCAGTTCCCAAAAATTAACGCAAAAACATACGCGGTAGAAAAAAAACAAAAACAAATCGGGGCTTTTATTTTTTTGGACGGCTTTTTGTAAACTGTTGCTCGGGTTTAGGGAAGCGAGCGGGCGGGCGGGTCGATCGGTAAAATTGGTTGGGTTCAGGGAAGGAGGAGGGCGGGTCGGCCGATTGGCCGGTTGCGCAGTCAATCATCCGGTCAATCGGACAGCGGCCTCCGGTGGGTTCACGCGAGAACAGCGCGGGCGCGAACCGCACTCGCGAGAGGCGTCTGAGGTGCGAAAAAGCACACAATATCGGCCTCTCGCGGATTCGCGAAAACAAAAACTGCAGCCGTACGTACCCGCCGGGACGTATTCTGCAGTCTCCAGAAACGTCCACGGGACTACGTTTCCACAATGAGCCCGGGTTGATATATTTTCTAGTGTAGCGTAAGAAAAAAACAAATTTGCTACAGTCTTTTGATAAAGTTCATTGTTAAACAACTAGAAATTTTGCAAAAACTAAAAAAGAATCAGTTCAAGTTCTTATTTTTCAAGTGCCTTGCACTGATTATTTACCTTTATGAATTTCTCATCCAAAAATAAAGACATAAGCAGTCCTGCTGAGAAAACGAAACACAATCTTACGTGTTCTGCCTTGCAGTGTGGCAGAACTGCGGATGATCTTGGCGGTGGTGGTTACAGTGATGTCATACAGGCGACCCGGTGTGAGCACATTGAAGGTGCACTCTCTCATGTCCCGGCTCAAGTTTCGTGTCTGAATAACTGTAGATGTGTTGCTCTGGAAAAGCTGTATGATGTAGCCATCGCGGGACGATGAGCTAGCGGCATGAGCCCACAGCGCGCTCAGAGACGTCTCGTCTGAGTGGCGGACGTGCAGCTGAGACACTGGGGGAAGACCTGAAAAAGACCATACATAATCAGGTATCATAACATTGTGCAGACTTCGGTTTACCACAATACAGGTTGTAATAATTTAAATATTAAGTTTACACGAATTTAAAATGAACAACACATCTGTTAAGCATTACTTAGTCTTTGTTGATGTTAACTAAAAGTATATTAATGTGTTAATTATTACATTAGTGGTCCCACTTCATATTAAGTGGCCTTAACTAATATGTACTTACACAGGAGTAAATAGTTTGTTACAATGTACTTATTGTGTAAATACATGTATTTATTGTGTACTTATGCTTGATTAAATACCGGTATGTTATTACATCTGTAATTAACTTCTGTAATTACATTTGTAAATACACTGCTGACCATTCCCTACACCTTAACCCACCCTTAAACCTATACACACCACCAAACCTGTCCCTAACCCAACCCCTTTCCCAACTCAAGAGCACCACAAGTGTTCTCAAATACTTTATAAACACAGTAAGTACATTGTATTTATTTTTTGATGTAAGTACATCGTAGTTAAGGACACTTAATATAAAGTGGGACCACATTAGTTAACATGAACGACTTGATTTATTACGTAATCTCTCTTTACGTTAACAGCTTAATTGATCAATTTGCGCAAACATATCCAGCAATGCTAAATCTTTGTTGTTGTAAACTATTGCTACCTATTGTAAACTACCAAATTCATTTTAATGATATAAGCACACGTGGTTACCTATTTCCCCCTCATATATGACCGTATTAGCCAGGCCTCCATTCTCAACGCTGACGGCCATTCTGTAAACTCTGCCTGGCAGCAGATTTAACCCTGACAAGAGTATTTCCTTTGCCGTTCTACCCACAGTTTGGTTCCTGAGGACTTCACTCCCATTTGAGAGCGCAACACGGATGTGCTCCCATTCGCCGGAAGGTGGCGTCCAGGAGATCTTCAGTGCTCCGCGAACCGACAGATTCTCTATCACCAGATCTGACACCTTTCCTGGATCTAGTGATGGAAGCAATGTGGGGAAAAATGAATTCATTTTTATTTGTGTCTTTATTTAGAAATAAAAATATTAGACTAGCAACAGATTCATCAATCTTTTTCTTTTGTATGATACCATATATTAACCATACTTCTTCTTTCTTACTGTGATATCATACTTCTTAGAGGGAACTGCTGACAAGAGGGAAATAGCAGACTAAGAATAAATATAGTGCGGAGGGCTTTGCTCCAGACTAACAAGAAGTCTAGACATGTCACAAGGAGCTGGATTGCTTGTGGTAGTTGTTAAATATATTTAATATGCACTGAACTGTTCAGTTCTGGCGTGCAGAGAAGGGTTGCAGAAAGAGGAAGTATGTCTGGGTGCAACAGCCCAAGGACTGCTGAATGACGTTACACCAAAACTCCACCTGTTAATATCAGTTGTGTACATATATGCTGGAGTCAGGGAAATGTAAATTAGTTGCGAACCTCTTGAATGTCATTCTTGTATGGCATTGGGGTAACATAACCCAAAGCTCTGTCCTCAGATTATTCATTTATATCTAATAAATAACTAATATTTTTGACATTAAAGAAAACCTTTTCCTGACCTTTTTTTATTGAACACACATGGAATTGGCTAGATATTTCAACAGCAACAACATAAATGTAAACAGTGATATTCAGCTATTAATGCAATAAAACTTGTCATGATTACCAGCAATCGTATCCCACTAGATTGCTGGTTCTCACTCACCAAACCATGGACTACACTTCCGCCTTTGATGGACTACATATTCATACATGCACTTCGCCCAAACACACATGCCTACTCATCTAGTCTGATTACATTCACACCACCTGAGGATTGTCAGAGACTGATTGCACAACCATTTAAGCCACACACTCACCCTTTCAGTTGGCCGAGTCTTGTTTATCCTATGATGACACTACAGCGCGTTTTTCCTTGTCTTGTTTACCCGTGTTTAGACCAAGTCTTGTATACCTGTTCTCCCTGCCTGCCACCTGCCTTTTGACCTATCGCCTGTTTACTGATTACGACTCTGGACTGCCTACACATACTCGTTTGCACCGGTATTGACCATTGCTTGCCTGACCACTGAATAAACCTGCATATTGCATCTTACCCCAGTTGTTTTTGTCATCCCACCGGTGTTACAATACCAGAGTACATTAGCAGGGGTGGAAAGAGTAACGAAAAATCTTGCTCAAGTACCATTACTTCCCCCCAAATTGTAGTGTAAGTAAAGTAAAAGTATCTTCTAAAAGTAGTGAATAGTTGTCACAATTATTAGCCAACAAGGCTCACTACACTGTATTTAAAAATTTTTGTTTCTAGTCCAAATATCTAAAGAAAATTTTTACATTTTCCAGACGAGCAGGAAATATTGTCTTGTTTTAAGAAATAATATGCCAAAATTAAGAAAAGCGAAAAATATGATTATTTTGCTTCCCCAATGTAAGGAAAGACTCACTTAATTTTGATATATTATTTCTTAAAACAAGACCATATTTCTTGCTTGTCTAGAAAATGCTTCTCGATTTACAAATTTTTTGATATTTGGCCTAGACACAAGACTAAAAGTCTAAGTAAAAAGCATATTTGCGGTGTAGACTAGCTCTGTATACTTCACCAGGCTTCAACTGGACTACACCTCCCACCATGCATTGTGCTAATCACCCATTACAGCTGTTACCTATCTGGACACTGATTACACTACACAGCTGCAGGACAATACACACAGAATTTAAACACACACCGTCATTGTTGTGGACTTTGGAAGTGTTTCTTGGACTCTTTCTTGTTTATTCATTCATTCATTTTCTTGTCAGCTTAGTCCCTTTATTAATCTGGGGTTGCCACAGCGGAATGAACCACCAACTTATCCAGCAAGTTTTTACGCAGCGGATGCCCTTCCAGCCGCAACCCATCTCTGGGAAACATCCCCACACACATTCACTACAGCCTACCCAATTCACCTGTACCTTATGTCTTTGGACTGTGGGGGAAACCGGAGCACCCGGAGGAAAGGCCGGGAGAACATGCAAACTCCACACAGAAACGCCAACTGAGCCGAGGTTCGAACCAGCGACCTTCTTGCTGTGAGGCGACAGCACTACCTACTGCGCCACTGCCTCGCTCTTTCTTGTTTAACGATTGTTTAAACACTGACCTTCGCCTGCTTATTGGATTACTCTTGCGGACTATAGTACTGCTTTGCTCTGGTTGATCATTCTTTCTTTAAAAAATGCAGCATATGGAACTCCACTTCTTTTGTCGTGCCTCATCATAACAATGGTAAGTAGTGAGTATTACGCTGATTTTGAAATTTACAATGTAGCTTACATCAGTGCCATTTTCAGATTTATTTGATGCATGTGATTTGATGCGTTTGACCTTTGAACCCCGACCAACAAGCTACAGGTGTCTAGCATGTGACGCCACAATCTATGCTCGGCAGCACTGACAGAATACATGCATGTGTTCGCCACTGGATTGTTTGGTTTGGGACTTGTGGAGCTGCGCATCGATGGATTGGCTCTTCCGTGTTTGGACTTTCAGCAGTGAAAATTAAACCACACTGAGCTGAACTAAGCAGAACTTCAACTCTGAAAACTTGACTGAAACCGTTTGCATTTACTAGAACTTCTATGTTAACCTTGCTGAAAAATCCAGCTTAAACCAGCCTAGGCTGGTTGGCTGGTTTTAGCTGGTCGACCAGGCTGGTTTTAGAGGGGTTTTGGCCACTTCCAGGCTGGTTTCCAGCCATTTCCAGCCTGGTCTTAGCTGATCAGGCTGGGAGATGACCAGCTAAAACCAGCTTGACCAGCCTAGCCAAGCTGGGAGTCCAGCCAAAACCAGCTATATACAGCTTAAACCAGGCCGGTCAAGCTGGTTTTAGCTGGATTTGGCTGGTAATTTGACCTGACCAGCTAAGACCAGGCTTGAAATGGCTGGTAACCAGCCTGGAAATGGCCAAAACCCCTCTAAACCCAGCCTGGTCGACCAGCTAAAACCAGCCAACCAGCCTAGGCTGGTTTAAGCTGGATTTTTCAGCAGGGAAGTTGCTTTGGCACACTCTACATTGTAAAAGTACTGTAGAAATAAAGATGAGCTGAATGGAATGTGTGCATGAGTGTGAAAACGTAACATTCTGTAGTGCTTTTAGTTATTATTTGAGGCCATGTGTTGATTTCAAAGTAGGCATCCTTCGTCTTCTTCAAAAACTCTAAATACATCTCTGTTGATCCTTTTTTTGTCAAGTAGAATTTAGCCTATATTTCATTCACAATACAACTAAGGAAAAAAGTAGTTTTATTTTTTCCTGATGGATTAAACAAACCTCTCTACAACTTTAGTTGCAAAGATTTAACAAGGCATCCATTTAATTTGTTAAGTATGGCAAATATAAGGTTTTGTTTTGCACATGTTTATTTCAGAGTACATCATGCTGTGTGTATGTGTGAGTGAATGAAACAGCAGGAACTGGGCTCTTTACAGCTGAGCTCATTAGTGTTCACCCTTCCAAATATGGTCAATAATGTGCTTTGGATTCTAGGTGTTGTGATCAACACCACTGGCGATTATTTCCTGTAGTAGTCCGCTCACCAGCGGTGTGGTCTCTGTTGAAGCTTACCTCCTAATGAACAACAACTCGCAGAGTTCTCTGTGCTCATCAACTCCTGCAATAGCTGACAATAATCCAGACAGTGTAGATAAAACTTTTATTGCCGAGTTTTGTTTCTTTATCAACTTTACGAAATGTTTTCCTTGTTTGATTCTCCCATGTTTTTGATCCTTGCCTTGTTCATCGTTTTGATCCTTTGCTTCCTAATCCGACCTCTTGCCTGTATTTTGACCACGATTATTGGATTACCCTATTGGTATTGTTTTCCTCCTGTTTATGACCTTTGCCTGTACGGCCTTGATTCTATTAAACTGCATTTGGATTCGCGAGTCTTTTGTCTGCATCCACTTCGTTACACTAGGGATAAAATGTAGGGTAATAAATGTGCATATAAAACCATCTCTGGAGATTTTGTGAGCTTACCTAAGCATTATACCTCCTATATAGGTATCAAGGTTTAACTTACAATTTACCAATTTAACTTAACAATTTAACTTACTGAATTAATGCACTAAGTAAAGTTTATTTATAAACTAATTTTGAGAGGATCACGTGCTTATGATTGCTTTCAGCCGGCCCTGCATTATTCAATTCAATTTGGTCAAGCTGTTCTCTCAATCGGACCAGGCTGGTTTTAGCTGGTCTCCTATCCTGGCCAGGCTGGTTTTAGCTGGTCTTTCAGCCTGGCCAGGCTGGTTTTAGCTGGTCTCCCAATCTGGTTAAGCTGGTTTTACCTGGTCTACCAACTTGACCAGCTAAAACCAGTTAAGACCAGCCAGCCTGACCAGCTAGGACTAGCCTGACCAGCTAAAACCAGCTAAGACCAGCCAGCCTGACCAGCTTAAACCAGTTAAGAACAGCCAGCTTGACCAGCTAAGACCAGCCTGACAAGCTAAAACCAGCCTGACCAACTAAGACCAGCTAAAAAGTGGCCAAAACCCCTCTAAACCAGCCTGGCCCGCTAAAGCTAGCTAAAACCAACCTGACCAAAAGAGTCCAGCTAAAAATTGGCCAAAACCCCTCTAAAACCAGCTAAGACCCGCTAAAACCAGTTAAGACCAACCTGACCAACTAAGACCAGCTAAAAATTGACCAAAACGCCTCTAAAACCAGCCTGACCAGCTAAAACCAGCTAAGACTAGTTTTACCAGCTAAAACCAGCTAAGACCAACCTGACAAGCTAAAACCAGCTAAAAAGTGGCCAAAACGCCTCTAAAACCAGTCTGACCCGCTAAAACCAGCTAAAACTAGCTAAAACCAGCTTGACCAGCTAAAACCAGCTAAAACTAGCTAAAACCAGCTTGACCAGCTTAAACCAGCTAAAACCAACCTGACTAACTAAGACCAGCTAAAAAGTGACCAAAACGCCTCTAAAACCAGCCTGATAAATCAGCCATGACCAGCCTGAAAAACCAGCTAAAACCAGCAAAAACCAGCCTGACCAGCTAAAACCAGCTAAGACAAGTTTGACCAGCTAAAACCAGCTACGACCAACAACTAAACAACTAAAACCAGCTAAAAAAGTGGCAAAAAACTCATCTAAAACCAGCCTGACCAGCTAAAACCAGCTTAGACTAGTTTTACCAGCTAAAACCAGCTAAAAGTGGCCAAAACTCCTTTAAAACCAGCCTGACCAGCTAAAACCAGCTTGACCAGCTAAAACCAACTAAGACCAACCTGACCAACTAAGACCAGCTAAAAAGTGACCAAAACGCCCCTAAACCAGCCTGACTGGCTAAAACCAGCTAAGACTAGTTTAACCAGCTAAAACCAGCTGAGACCAACCTCACCACCTAAAACCAGCTAAAAAGTGGCCAAAACTCCTCTAAAACCAGCCTGGCCAGATAAAACCAGCTTGACCAGATAAAACCAGCCAAGACCAGCTTGATCAGCTAAAACCAGCTAAGACCAACCTGAACAATTAAGACCAGCTAAAAAGTGGCCAAAACCCCTCTAAAACCAGCCTGACAAATCAGCCATGACCAGTTTGGGAAACCAGCTAAAACCAGCTTGGGTAACCAGCAAAAACCAGCCTGACCAGCTTTGGCTGGTTTAAGCAGTTTTTTTAGTAGGGCACGTGGCTTTCCCCCAGGTTCCCCAGTTTCCTCCCACTGTCCTGAAACATGCAACTTAAGTTGATTCCAAATCGGCACCATAGACATGCTCCCTGTAAGTAGTTATCTCTTAAGAGCAATCACTATCTGTTCATTAGCTACTACAGCTGGGGAGTTCTCCAGATCTACCTGAGCTCAAACTGCCCTCTCGCCTTGCGAACGGGAGGGAGCCCCGGGCTCGAGGATCTCATGAGCTCAGGGCTCTCTCCTGGGACAGCACGCCAAACAAGCTTTATAATCAATCATCAGCTAAGTGTCAACTCTTGAAACGGCACCTTCATTCAACTTGTACTAACCTGCTTTTCCTGTGATCCATGTCTTATTAGAAAGCGCTCCACTCCTGGTACTGACAGACACTTGGTAGCCCTTCCCAGGACTCAGATTCTCAAACACTACATATGTGTCGTCAGGCGGTAAGACTTTCTCAATAGAGTTTGAACCAGGTGTCGTCAGACTGACAAGGTAACTATCCACGTCCCCAGAAGCTTTATCCCACAGAACCCTGATGCTGTTCCGGTCGCCGTTGTTCTCCGTTCTTAGCTTAGAGACTGAAGCTGGAGCTGCACAGAGAGAGACGATTAGATTAGGCACATTACTTTTTTGGGCTCTTTACAGCTGAGCTCATTAGTGTTCACCCTTCCAAATATGGTCAATAATGTGCTTTGGATTCTAGGTGTTGTGATCAACACCACTGGCGATTATTTCCTGTAGTAGTCCGCTCACCAGCGGTGTAGTCTCTGTTGAAGTTTACCTCCTAATGAACTACAACTCGCAGAGCTCTCTGTGCTCATCAACTCCTGCAACAGCTGTTTAAACAATGCTGTAATACCTTGATGTTTAAAGTAAAAAAGGGAAAATGTTCTTACAATCCTTCATCTAAATGTGATGGATCTTCACTTCTGACATTAGTACTGGCTTTAGTGACCTAGGATCTGGCACAGATTGTCATGCATTTGGTTTTGATCTTGTTTTCTGCACACATTAGTGTCAGGATCCAGCCCTTACAGCCCTGTCACTCCTGTCTCTGTTTAATGTCTCTTTGCTTGTTTTGTGTATTAGTCCATGGCTGTCTCTTTTGTTGTGTTGGCCATGTGCTCCCCTTGTCCTGCCTCCTCGTCTTCCTATGCCTCGCCGCCTTGTTCAGTCCTTGTCTGTCTAATTACGTTCACCTGTTCCTCGTGCTCTCTACTCCCTTTAATTCGGGCTGCGTCCGAAGCCGCATACTTCCATACTATATAGTACGCTAAAATCAGTATGCGAGCCGAGTAGTATGTCCAAATTCATTAAATTCGAAAATCAGTAGGCGAGAAGTACCTGGATGACTTACTACTTCTGGCGAGGTTCTGGAGTGCGCATCACATGCATGCTGCCCTATCCCATAATGCCCCGCGAGCAAATTCATGAATGGGAGTAAAGTGACGCAATTGACGCAGGTAGGTCATGTGACCTTGACAAAATGGCGGAGGTAATATGTCCGAATTCCATTCATACTTTTCACGTTCATACTGTATAGAACGTACTTTTCTAATGGCCGAGTAGTACGTTTAAATTCAAATCCAGTACCTACTGAGTAGTAAGCGGTTTCGGACGCAGCCACTGTGTCATTTCCCTTTTTGTCCTTGCTGGTTCGTCTCAGTCTTTTAGTGTACTTGTCTAGCTAATCCTGTTAGTACTTGATAGGAGTTAGTATGCAGTCTAGCTTTGTTTCTTTTGTGTAGTCTTAGTCTAGAACTAATCTTTTTGATCTTGATCTTGAATTCATTTACCTTTCTGATTTTTCTCTTCTCTCAGCAAAGTTGCTGTCATTTTCCTTTGTCTTTCTGTTTGTAGCTAAAGATTTATTTCAAGTTTTCATTTTGCCATTTCTGTGTCACACCTGTTGCAGTGCCCTAGTTTGGACACTTGAGGGCACTTGTTTGTGTTGTAGTTTCACTTCATTTCCCATAATCCTTTGTATCACTGATTGTGTTGTGTTACAGCTGTTTCATGTTTGTTAATTTAGTCCTGTCTTTATAAACCCTCTTGTCCTCTGTTTTAGTTGCCTTAGGGTTTTGTTAGTTCCTCACGTCTGGTATGTTTGTCTGGTTTTCTAGTTTTTTGTATTACGGTTATTTTTGGATTCCTGTTTGTGTTCGTTTTTGTTAGCACTTGTTAGCACTCCTACCCTGTCCTTGTATTTACCCGTTTTTGGATTTTTGCCAGTTCCTTCTAGTGATGGTGAAATGAAGCTTTCTGAACCAGTGAAGCGCTCGACTCAATTGTATCGGAAAAAGGTTTGTTACTCGAAGCTTTCTAAATCAGAGCTCGATGAGGACCTCTTCTGGTGAAAGTGTGGGAAAACACTGTGTTGCCATAATGTCAAATGTTCACAACTGACCAACTCATTCATGTAGTAATACAACAACAGCAATATAAACAAATTACTCAATTACTGTAGTTTTTACACATAAGATATATTACATTACACAACTGATGATTGTAGTAAAATCCAAGGTATTCAAAAGTTTATCATAACACAATTAGTCCCGGTCCAAGCAGGGATCGAACCAGCGATTCTTGATTGGGAGGCGAGTGCTCTAGGAGGACGCTATATGAACGAAGCTTCAAGGTTGCATTCACCAGATGCTCTTTGTCAAACACAATACATCGATATGCGGTGGTTTTCTTTAAAGATAGTCATAAAAAAAAATACGCTAATACACTTTAGTATTGTTCAAAACCTTTTTACTAAAAAATACTATTGTAGTTTAGTTTAATTACTGGTGTTTGGGACTGGTGCAGTGCTTTGGAACAAATGTATGTAATAGACGCCTAATCTCTCGCTATACACTTTACTATGAGGGTGTTTAAACCTTTGAATCAAAATTCGAAGCAGTCACGTGGGTATAGGCGAAAATAAAGCTTCGGACGTCACTGATCACGTGATGATGGCAAAACGAATCAAGCTCCGGTACACTGCTTCACTGCGAGATGTATCGTTTTTTTGATACATGCTTCGAAGCCTCGGCGCACAACGTCACATCACTAGTTCCTTCGTCTGGTCATCTAGTTTTTGTATCTTGCTTATAGTTCTGTGCAAGATTTGAAAATCTTTTTGGATACCTTTGTCTTTTTGTTAATAAATTGCTGCACTTGGATGTTTGCGTTTTGTGTGATTCTCTCCCATTCGTGACATTCTGTGATCCAGCAGTCCCAGTCTAGTCCTAGTCTTTTGTTAGTTCTTTATTTTAAGTTCCTTTGGCTGTGTTTTGCTTTCTGTTTTATTTCTAGCTACGGCTTATTTCTTTTGGCCTTTTGTTTTTAGTTTTAGTAGCTTTATTTAGTCCCTTGTTTAATTTTATTTCTCAAGCTCTATTTTCCCCCTTCCTAAATATTTTTTGTTTTTACTTTGTTCTACCCTACTGAAAAAACGGCTGGTTTTAGCTGGTTGACCAGGCTGGTTTTAGAGTGGTTTTGGCCATTTCCAGGCTGGTTTCCAGCCATTTCCAGCCTGGTCTTAGCTGGTCAGGCTGGGAGATGACCAGCTAAAACCAGCTTGACCAGCCTAGCCAGGCTGGGAGCCCAGCCAAAATGTCCAGTTTAAGGCTGGAAATGGCTGAAAACCAGCCTGGAAATGGCCAAAACCCCTTTAAAACCAGGCTGGTCAACCAGCTAAAACCAGCCAACCAGCCTAGACTGGTTTAAGCTGGATTTTTCAGCGGGGTAGTTTGTTTTTTGCTTGCTCTTCTTTAATATTTTCTTGTCTCCCCAGCTGTTTAGTCCTGTTGTGTTGCTTGTGTCACCCGCCTCCTGAGTCTCTGCTGGTTGTAAATCCCGCTTGGCTTGATGTTCCATCTGTATTCCACCCCTGTCCCAAACCTGAGGTTCTACTAGCTCACCAATCTCGTTCCTGGAGATCCGGTTCTATGCAGAGCTTAGCTCCAACTTGCCTCAACACACCTGCCTGGATGTTTCGAGTATATCTATAGTAAGACCTTGATTAGCTTGTTCAGGTGTGTTTGATTAGGGTTAGAGCTAATATCTGCAGGACACCGGACCTTCAGGAACAAGTTTGGTGACCCCTGCACTAGCTACTTACTGACTGCTTGACCTGAAGTTTGGAATTTACCTTTCCTGACCAGCCTGTTCCACCCCCACAAGGCTATTACAACTGTATCATCCATCCCTCACCAGCCTGTTCTCCTTCCGTCACCAGCCACTATTGTGTGGACTGTCCTTCTGCATTGCCTTGGGTCCCTCCCGTGAACAAACCTCGCGTTCTCCTGTCTATTGTGTGTTTGGGTTCTCCTTGCCAACCCTGACACATTAGAGTTTAAAAGGTGGAGTAGCTATGTTTACATCCAAACATGTGGAAACTGGATTATCACATGTAATATTTGTGAAAAAAGCCTGTTTCCTGATGAATTGGCAGCAAAGGTATTGTGTGTTGCATTTTTAACACCTGAATCTGACGTTTCTGAACTGTATCTGATATATAATCTGAGTCCCAGATTGTAGTATGAGGAACATCCCAAAGGTGCAGAGATGGCTGTTATTTCTTTCTGGACAATCCAAATGTTCACGCATGCACACTAAAATGTTTAATATTGGGAATGAGGATGAGGATTTGATCAAAACTACAAACATGGCAGACATGTGCGATTGTAGATCTTTCATTCTATCCAATGAAAGAAATGCTGATGTTGTTACTTGTTACTAAGTTGTTACTAAGCTGATCAACAGGGCGTTTTAATGAGATGCACAATTATGACCAAGTCGAACATCCCATGTATTGCTGACTCCTCTACTGTACACTTCACTCACAGGAAAAAGTAAATGTTTTGGTAATAGTTTAGTTTAGGTCACAATTCATGTTCTTAACAACCCATTAACTACATTGTAAAAAAAATCAGCAACTTTACGGTTTATTCTGGCAGCTGTAGTGCCGAAAAACATAAATTAAAGCATAAATTAACAGCCGTTAAATTACAGAAACATCCCGTAAAAAAATGGATTACAGAAGTTTCCTTAAATTGACATTGCTGGTAAATTTCTGTAATATGTTATCCGTTATTTTACGGTATATTTCTGTAACTTAACGTCCGTTAATTTACGTTTTTTTTCCTGTCAACACAGCTGCTGGAAATAAACCGTAAAATTGCGATTTTTTTTTTTTTACAGTGTGACACTATAGCTTAATAAACTACCAATTAGCTATTTATTAAGCACGAATTCTGACCTAAACTGAAGTGCTACAAATATGTTTAGGTCATGTAAAATGGGACGCAGCACATTCCGCGAGTCTATCCAGCTGGTCTTTGGTGTCACTTTGGTGTCAAAGATCCAATTGCAGGTTTAATAAGAATAGTCATGCAAGCATGTAATGGTCAGGAGATGCTGGTACATATGGACAATCCAAATCGTAGTCATCTAACAGCCTTGTGATTAAAATATGCGGCAATACAGAATATAACAATGAACAAGGCTATGGTCAAATAACACGGTAGGCAAAACAAACAGCAACACAAACACTAACAAACAGCGACAGAAACCAAAGAATCAGTAATGAACGGGTGTATCAGTGGTGTATAGGTAGTCCGAATGATTAGCGATAACATGTTTCATCAGTGATCGGCAACTGGTGCGTGTAGCTTTGTGTGTTGTTTCGATTTTTACTTAATTGTACATTTGTACTAAAGTAAACATAAATAATCCATCCTAATTATCTCGGTGATAAATAAATGCGAGAATGTAGTCTGTAGGTCAGATCGAGTGCTGTTATAAGATGACAAAAGCCCACATCTCCAATCACCGAAAACGGCTGCAAATCTTTAGCTATAAACACCCGCACTGCCTTTGTTATTTTTATATTTCTCTCGGAACCAGTGGGGTATGTTTGCTTGAAAGATTCAGCGAGGGATTGTTGCTATTTGGAGGACTTTATTACCTTCTCTGCTATCCTGCCTTTAGACAGTGATTTGCTGGGTGATGGCGCTGCAGATGTGCAGTCATGGTTATACCAACCCGGGCTCATTGTGGAAACGTAGCCCCGCGGACGTTTCTGCGGACCGCGAGATATGTCCCGGGAGGGTACGTATTCGAGTGTATTTGCGCTTTTTCGCGTCTCGGGTGCCTCTCGGGAGCGCGCGCCGTTCGCGCCAGCGCTGTTCTCGCGCGAAAAGCCGCTGGATCGGCCGACCCGGCCGAACTCCTCTTCCTCCTCCTCCTTCCCTAAACCTGAGCGACAGTTTCCAAAAGCCGTCCAGAAAAAAAAAAAAAAGCAAAAGCCCTCATCTTTGATTTCGACCGCGTTTCCGGATCCCGCCGCGTTCTCGCCCTTATTTTTCGGATTCTGTTTTTCGTCTTACCTCCGCCGACGCAACGCTGTGAGCTAAGCGGCCAAACTGGTTGCATCGGGAAAGCCCTCCACTCGGAGTCGAGCCGTCGGCCGACGAGCGCGAAGAGGAGGAGCGGAGCGGCACCACACCGCCCCGCAGCGTTCGCTCGAAAAAAGTAAACGCGTCCATACGCACCTCCGGCCACGTAAATTGCGGCTTCCAGAAACGTCCGCGGGGCTACATTTCCAGAATAAGCTTGGGTTAGTTTATACGTGTAAAACGCAGGCGCTTTCTCGTTATGTTGCCTCACTTCGCCAACGCTTCTTTGTACTGTTGCCGCAGCCTCACTTCACCGCCGCTCCCCAGGTTAAAGTGTGGAATTATGGTTAATCGCCCCCTAACTTTAGAGCATAGTGATTGGATATTTACTCGCGGGGAGGAGTTTCCTCATCACAGCTCATGGACTTACAGGCACACGCAGTCAATTCAGGGAGATATAAAACGCAAATAACTTATATAAACTCAAAACCAAGAATACCGCAATTCACAATCGCGTATTAAACCGTGGAGGTTGTACCAAATGGTTCAATATTATATTGAGAACCGTGGCATCCCTACTGTATATTATAATACTGAATACAGTGGAAGTCAATTGTTACAGTTTCCATCTTATTTTGTGTGCGGAAAAAATAATCAGAACTCATAAAGGTTTGGAACGAATCACGGGTGAGTAAATGATGACAGAATGTTCAGTTTTGGGTGAACTGTACCTTTAAGTCTTAAAAATGCGAATGACTATAGTCAATCAAATAAAAATGCACACACGGTTAAATAAACGAAATGATTAAGGCAACATGACGTAATGTGAGATAACAAAAGGTGAACAAGGTAACCTTTCAGCCCTTTAAACAGGAAAGGGTGTTAACATGCCTGCTTAAAATACAGAGGAAACAATTTCAAATACCTGTTTGTGCTTGTGTGGACGCTGAATTCTGCAGCTCTCCAACCTCTGTAACGACAGTGATGTTGTAGAGTCGTCCAGAAATCAATCCCTTCATTGTATATGAAGTGGCTGTGCTCGCCACTGTCGAGTTCCATGCTGAATCTCTGCCACTGCTGTCTATGAGCACAATCCAGTATCGCTCTGTTTTGCCTTTACCAGGCTGCCATGAAACATCCAAGCTGTTTGCATCACCAGAAACCTGTAGATTTTCCACTGCTGAAGGTCCTAATAAAAATAAACACCGAAAGATGTTTAGCATTTTTCACAATTATTAGTTTCCCCTTAAGAAATATATATATTTTACTGGCTACAGAACAAACTGTTGTCCGATGACTTGCATAACTATCCTTACTTGTCTAGTTAATCTAAGTAACCTACTTAAGCTTTTAAATTGCACTTCAAGTGGAATACTAGTAAATTGGGTTATAAGTTGTAAAATAATATTATGTACAAACACTAAAGAAATCAGTTATTAGAAATTAATTGTCAAAATTATGTTTAAAAATGTGTTAAAATGCACACTATATATATATATATTAGGGGTGTCAAAATTAATTGTTTCTTTGGTGCATTGCGATGCAGACGCGGACAATTCTGTATCGGTTCAGTAATAATCATAACCGGTTATTATGTACTGACGTCATTTATCTCCTATGCGCTCTGTCGCGAGGGAGATAAGCGCCAGTATTTACAACACTCAGCCAACTCAGGGCCGGCCCTTGGCATAGGCACCATAGGCAAATGCTAAGGGCGCTGTATATCCAGAGGGGCGCCAGAAATGAGCGCGGTTCAGTTGGTTTTGTTTTCGATATTCCTGACACACATTCAGTTACAGACGGCAATAACTCAAAAACCTCTTACCCTAAAAAGATCTAAAGTGTGTTTCCTGTGTTTTTATGTTTCACAGCTGTCTTTTCTTTTCTTTTTTTCGCTCCACACTAAGAGCACTCCTCCGTTTAAGCCCTCGCAATATGTGTTTAGCCGGGAGAGCTCGCGCTGAGAGGAGCTCTCAGTAAGGGACCGTCGGAAAAGTGCTTCTTTTTTTTTTTTTTTTTTTTTTCTGCTCCGCTCAGCGCGAGCTCTCCCTGTTGCAAGGGCTTAAGTGTGTATGTGTGCGTGTGTGTGTGTGTGTGTGTGTGTGTGTTTGTTTCTTTGGTGTTGTCTATGTTTGTGTATGTGTTTGAATGAGAGACAGTGTGGTGCTGTGTGTCTGTGTGTTTATACAGACAGCTTGTTATAGCCTCTCCTCTAAAATATAACACTGTATATGGAAAGCATCGTCAATGCACTGTGATGCACCACAATATCGAATTGAACCGAATCGAAGGCATGATAATCGTAACCGAACCGAACCGTGAGACCAGTATAGGTTCCACCTCTAATATATATATATATATATATATATATAGTGTTCAACAGAATAAAGAAATTGATAAAAGATTGGAAAATTCAGAGTAAAATAGAAAATAGAGAAAATAGAGAGTAATTTGGCTTTTTTTGGTGGAGCGATCTCTTTAAATCTTGCATTATATATTCTCTCTCTCTCTCTCTCTCTCTCTATATATATATATATATATATATAAATATATATATATATATATATGTGTGTGTGTGTGTGTGTGTGTGTGTGTATATATTTTTTAATTTCATTTAATTATTTTTTTTTACAATGCTTTCATTTGCTTTGCTCATTACCCCAGCACATATTTAATCTAATGTAGTCAGTTTTTTATACTACACTGTTTTACTTTGAGGGAAAGAAATATAGAGATTAAATTTAATTTACAGTTACTTAAGAGATAATTAAGCAAAAATCTAAACAACACGCCAAGTTACATGATGACCACCGGTTACTTAATAATTAATAATTGCTGGTCACATAAACAAACTACAAATCCCATCATGCATCTTCATACACGCCAGTTGCCGATCAACACTGATGCGATGCACACAGCTGAAACTTGCTATCGCTTTATATATATATATATATATATATATATATATATATATATTTCTGTTTAACGGAGAGCAGATTTTTTTTTCAACACATTTCTAAACACAATAGTTTTAATAACTCATCTCTAATAACTGATTTATTTTATTTTTGCCATGATGACAGTAAAAAATATTATACTTGATATTCTTCAAGACACTTCTATACAGCTTAAAGTGACATTTAAAGGCATAACTAGGTTAATTAGGTTAACTAGGCAGGTTAGGGTAATTAGGAAAGTCATTGTATGACAATGTTTTTTTCTGTAGACTGTAGAAAAAAAATTGCTTAAAGGGGCTAATACTTTTCACCTTAAAATAGTGTTTACAAAATTAAAAACGGCTTTTATTCTAGTCGAAATAAAACAAATAAGACTTTCTCCAGAAGAAAAAATATTATCAGACATACTGTGAACATTTCCCTGCTCTGTTAAACATAATTTGGGAAATATTTAAAAAAGAAAAAAAAATTCAAAGGGGGTGAATAATTCTGACTTCAATTGTATATATATATATATATATATATATATATATATATATATATATATATATATATGAAGTATTAGTGTAATTACAATTACACCAATTACTATAGTACTTGTTATGTAGTCATGGGTGTATCTAAGGATTGTCCCTCTAAAATTTATTTTCAAGATGTTTGAACATAGCGACTTGCTTTTTGAGGCTTAAAATTATTTATTTAAACCACTGTGTTTGTGCATTTTCAGAGTGTTTCACTGCGTGTCTTCAGTAAACCCTGACGTTAGATTTTTTTTTCTTTTTACCTCAAAAAGGATTTGGGCTGATTAAGATGTACGTAAATTAGGGCCTCTTGAAAACCGTTTAAGACACCAATAGTGGGTCCTGACCCCCTAATTAAAACCCACTGCTATAAATGCCTATCATGTTTATTACTGCAGTTGACTACATTTGCAGAGTATATATGAAGGTAGTCAGGTATAGGGATAGATTTCCCCTCTGGCAGACATTATAATAACAGTCCTTCTCCATGCGCTCTGTGTGAACTGGTGTGCAGAAAGGAAAGGTGTGGACGCAGCGGGTCCCGCTGTGAATTATTCTTAGTGAAAGCTGCAGAATGTCCAACATCCTACATGTGCAAACATGATAGCGCCGCTCTTTGCTTTTTTAAGAAAGCTCTTCCTAATGAGGTTGTATTGTAAGAAAACAGGATAAGAAACCTTTAAGGTTGAAGGTCAAATCTTGGCAACCTCCTATGACTTTTTTCACACTTTCTCCATGAGTGCCATTAGAAAGTCAATATGTGCGAATATTATACAGCTTTGCGGTAGTTCGTGTTTACTCCATTCATTCATGTATTTGTATCGTCTAAGATGTATAGCTGGGTTTAGGGGTGGGGTACGGTGTCATGCCTCCTTATAAAAAGAATCATACATTTTCACGAGACTGAAATTGTATGAATTCGTATAAATTAGCCACCATACTGACAAAACATCACACAGTTTTGATTCTTCGTGAGATCTGGCTGATATATCTGGCAGCCTGATTGGTCACACTTTATTTTGATGGTCAGTTTGGTCTAACCTAATATAACCTAATTCTCATTAGGTTATAAGTAGACCGTTAGGTTGGGGTTAGTGTGAGTTGACACGTACTTGCAAAGTTTCCTATAGTCAGTTAAATGTCTGTTGAAGAAGCAGTCTACTAAGGCCCCGTTTACACTAATGCGTTTTCGTTTTAAAACGCATAAGTTCTGCTACGGTTACGCCATCCGTCCACACTACGCCGGAGTTCTCGAGCGCCGAAAACGTTCATTCTAAAACGCTGCTGCTCCGTTTCAGTGTGGACGAGGAAAAACAGAGACATCTGAAAACGGAGGCGGGACTGCTAAGATTCGCTAGCTGATTGGGGCTTTTGTTTCATTGCGTATCCTTCCCTTATTCGTCAAGTCCCTATCACATGACTATAACACATGGCTTCAATGCTACCGGAAGACAGTACTGTAAACAACAACATGGACACAGAAATAGGAGCATTGTTTGCATTAGTGTATGTTTTAGGCACCATATTGCAGTGATTCATTTGTTAAGTTTAGTAGCAACTCGACCTCGTTATCTGTCCACAAAAATACCTCTCTTGCTTTCTTTGCCATCGCGTTTAATGTTCAACCGGCGTTTGTTGACTAACAATAACCAAATGCCGAGCGAGACGCATGCTTTCTGTTTATACTAGAACGTGCATGCCCAGAGTGCGCGAATGGTCACGTGATATACGTTTTTGGTGGCGTAGTGTGGACGGAGATTTGTTCAGAAACGCTAGTGTGAACGCAGATCGTTTTTGATCTAAAACGCCGTTTTAAAACTAAAACGCACTTGTGTAAACGGGGCTTAATACGCAAATAGACCATAAAAATAAAGTGTTACCATCTACTTTTTACAATTTTTTACATGACGGAAGTTCAAACATCTGTCACCGATTAAGCACTGGACCCCACAGGGCTAAAACCGCACCATATCTATGTTTTTTAAGACAATTTTACAAATGAAAGACTTCTTTGTAAGCTATCAATACTCAATAATAAAAAGGTCTTGCATGTGCTTATTTAGTATATTTTCACAGGAGCACTAGGAGTCTGAAAACGGTTTAGAAACAAATTCTCCCTTATAGAGAAATGCATGTTACAGTAAATGCTTCTGCTCTCCTGTGACTGTATCATGTATGTTTACAATTCTAAACTTCCCAATTTTACAATATTCAACATAGCACTCGGATATGTTTATGACTACCTAAATTATTTGTGAAACTTAATTATCAAACATGATATTTTGTATTCTTGCAATTGAATTGCATTTAAAAGTCATTCAGCTCAATGGGCATGTCACCTTTTACACAGCTTCATGGCAAAGTAAAAATGCAATAGCAGCATGTAGCTACTTCCCTGCATTCATCGGCCAATCAGTCGGTCATAAATTTCTGTGACAGCACACAGTGAAAGAGGTAAAGCGGTTCCTTGAAACCAGAAGCCAGTGTTAATGAAATAACCAGCCCAGAGTCCTGACCTAAACCTTAAAACTGAATGTTATAGCAGATATTGCTGAAAAAAACCTCACAACAGCTACTGAGGTATGGAAGAGACTGGAAGAAAAGCTGATCAACCATTACCATTGCCATTTACACATCAGTTTCAGACAAAAATGGGAATTTTTAAATGTATTTTGCCAGTTTGTATACTCAACAACAGCACTTTATGACTG